AACAATCCAACCCATCAGTAGACCACTGAGTTATCAATCAATACATGACGCCAGATTTATGGCTGCACACACGGATATGTTCACCATCCTCTCACTCCACCCACGACTCCAACTCCTGCAAATTACGACGTGGCTCAAAAGAAAAACTCCGACCAATAATCATCTCCGCTATAGTTTGAAGCTGCAACAACCCTACTTTGATTTATGAGCAACATTCCCTATAAATAACCCCAGTTTTTCCACCAAAGGCCTCAAGCATAGCCAATAGTTTGAACATAAACGAATTGTTTAAAACACGATCAACTGACAAGTGGTATTTTGAAAGGTGTAGGAAAAGGTAGGTAAAATATTCGTTTTCATACGGAACACTATGACCTACGACAAGTACGACGATACCCAAGAGCAACTCTTAGCCACACCCGATTTTGCGGGTTATATTTGTCTTGTCTCCCTCGGAAAACGGACCTTCTGGCTTGTACATGATGATCTGTGGTGGCCTCGTGGGCATGGGCGCTAATCCAATCCCAGACAGATAAAGCAGTCAGGTGACAGTTCCTGAGAGACCAACAACGGGTCGAAAGGCCTACTGGCCGGAGAAAATTGACCTGTCTTGCGTCCTGTTGATAAACACGTTCTGGCAAGGCTGGGTAGATGATCATCAGCTTTCGCCACGCTGTAAAGCTATTTTCCGCCGGCTTTCCACAGTGCTTTCTTGCTGTCGTGTTTCAATCCTTCAGAATGGCATTCATAAAAAAAGAATTTTTATGGTAGGCAGGGCAATATCTGTCGCATTTGAGAGCCTGCACAGTGTCCAGTTATCTTGTTCTCCCAAGGTTATCAAGTCTCATTGTGTTCCGCTGATGATGACATCTAGGGACGAAATATCATCGCCGGCTTCCCCTTTCTCCTCCTCTTTGAAGTAATTCACCTCAAACATTCCGGTGATCAATTTGAAGGTGTTTTCTATTTCATCTTTCTTTAGAATTGCCAATGTGTCGTCGGAGTATCGAATCCGGCGGCTGCATTACCGCCTCAAGAATCAATTTAGATATGTGAAATCCCGTAAGTGTCCCTATTGTTCGTTTTTAAATCTTACCGCTGAACAATAAATAGGTCGTGAGATATAGATCGGTAAACTCTAAGAGGTTTGAGATTGTTAGCTTCATATAATAAGAAGACGTTTGGTTGTTCTTCAGAAGAATATCTATTGTCTCTTTGGTTAGCTTTCAGTCGACTGAAGTTAAAAGGGAAGTCACACCAAGAGATATCATTCCTTGTTCACCACCTATCTCTAAGTCTTTTATTTTGTCTAGAAACTCATCTGCCGAGCCGACTGAATATTCGTTTCCGTAGGCCAGATGCTTCGCTTTTCATTAAAATTCTCTTCACAAGTCGAATGGTGTTCCAGGTAGCGAAAGTACTGGTCTCAATGAAGTGCTCGTCTATGTATCTTGGGTCTGCCGTAGACGTTGGTAAGTATGATCCGTTTGTCCCCATCCGCCATTGTTCTTTAGCGATTTGCCCAGCTTATATTATATTCCTGCTGTTTCCGAATTTTGTTTTTCAATTCTTCAACTAAATTTCGGTCCAGTGGTTGGTGCATGGTCGTCGTTGAGTGATTGTTGCGCCTTTTTGACGTGATGCCTTCCGTTCGTGACAATGGCTTTCCCTCCTTTATTCAAAGACAATATTGCAGTTGTCTTGTCGATCAATAGTGATTTCGGCTGATTTATTTCTTTCATGTTCAGCAGACGTTGATTTCCTTTGACTTTCCCTGGAGGCAGAGTCGACTGTCCTACTGTCCCTCAAGTTTCTGAGTGTAAGCTCAAAAGAAGAGCGTAAACTTGGCTTGTTTGCATTCCTAGTGGCCTTCTACATGCTACGAATCAAAGACAAAAATGTTCTTTGGATACCCAAATCAACAGCTACAATGGCACATAAAAAGATTCCTCGACAGATTCATTTCCCACAGAAGTAAGCCGCCTAGATCAATGAATGCATTTCTAACCCACTTTACATGGAATCTAGATGTCATTTACAAGAAATAATCAAAAAAGGATTAAGTCGCCCAGTCGTTTGCTGGAAATCAAGGCGAGACTCTCTACGTCAGCGGAAAGCGGAGGACGAGAGATGATCGTTTCAAGAATGTTCCAAAACCTCGGAGACTGCAGGTCAGCTAGTCCAGATGTGTTGCGTCCTAAGACATAAACATCAGTGACGGATATTCTCGAATTGCTGGCGTGTTCCTTGAAAGCATCACAACTAATCGAAATCGCTGCTGGACTGGGAAAATGTCAACACCAAACAAGTCTGCGAAACCAATGACATGCATCTTGCAGCTAACTACAATTCCGTTGGCCATCCAGTGAGGTCATTTAACGCCCAGAAAAGCAACAACCCTGTAGTCATTCACATAGATGGAAATATGGCTTTACAGATAGTCACTCGCATTTACCAACTCTTATCAGTGCATGATAAAACTGTGCAACAGCCGACGAGATCAACCTGCCAACGAACATAATGGTTTGAGTTTATTGCGGGCAGTTAGTAGGAAGCCCTGGGCGTAGGTTTTGTGCCTGCTGATAGGCGTCACTGCACAAAAGTCCAAGACAAGTACTCCCACTTCCATCCTTTGATATAGCCTAAGAGATATAGCTTTGAAGGCGGAAATAGGAACTAAGGCAAGCACTTTTCGGGTTGCATGAGACAGGAGGACAAGGAAGGCTGGGGATTTTCTGAGATATAAATCAGTAGGAGGGGGAGTACCTTGATATCTATTCCCCCTTCTACTCAACACCAATAAAATATCCACTAAAGTTAGATCCTGATCCACTCACCGGCAAACTAGGTCAGCTTCGCCTTAGAGATTACCATCAACAGTAGCATAATTAAGCGAATTAGCTACAGTGATTGGCGCTATTCCTCGATAAATTTTGAGCATTCACCCAGAGTGACTGGGTTCACGGACATGGCCGCAAAGGTAAGTCGTTGCTTTCAGAAATTAAGTATTTACACGGTGGAAGCTACCAACAGTTGCCCTAGAATTTTCAGGGTACTGTCAATGAGGGTATCAGTGTATTTCTGAAGCCCGCACATGTACTATTACATCCGTAAAGCGGATGTCCACGCATCACAACTAAGATGTGGCGCTCACACATCGGGCTAGGTGTACAGCGAACGTGATGGCGTTTGAATGGGTTTATAAGGCTAATGCTTCTGTATTTTGGTTTGATATTTTCCCGATCACAGTAGGTGACAGCAACTATTTGATTTACTTTAGAAAATAGAAGCGAGCTGGTTAGAACAACTACTGACCCCACTCAACTGAAAGTTTGAGTGACTTCTGGAACAACCGACGCGCTGACAACTCAACACGAAAGGGAGATATCGAAAAGGATCTCAGACTCGGAACCTTCAAGATACCCCCAGGGTTCTTATCCGTGGTTTCGTAATCAGCCGTAAACAGTCCGAAAAATCACTCGTTGCGTTAGAAAACGAGTTATTTCGAGTCGACTCTAAAAACCTGGGCAAAGATTTACCACGACCTTGCTACCTCCGGCTCCTGCGTCAACGACCCCTGAAAAAAAGGTGGCTAGGAATTAAAAAGAAAAACCAACTTTTAAGATATCAGACATCTGGAAAGTTCTACCTTCCTCCGTTTCAATGGTCCACTTGGCCTCAATTACAGGTTGGGACTGTCTGGGGACATGAATTCTCAGGCGACTCACAAGAACACATTTTGTCTCCCCAGTTATCAATCGGGCCATAAAGTGTCCGTTGTTTACGTTCGCCATATCCAAGCTTATCAAGCGTAAAAGGTCAGCCTTGGGTTCATTACTGGTCTTTAACAGAAAGAATAGCCGAGCACTTAGCAAGGATAAGTGCAACAGATGTGCTGTGAAAATCATACAAGACGGAGAAAAATACCAGATGGGTCCGCGCATACGTATCACGCGGCATTGTAGTTGAATGTCAAAAAGCAGTAATTTCTTACGAGTGCACAGGACTTGATTAAATTAAGGAACCGCTACCCTAGGTGAGGTAGTCAGCTTTCTAGCCCAGGTGTTCAAACACAGCTTCTGGTAGGTACAACCTGTTCAACAGAAGTGGATCAAAGGGACATAAACATACTGTTTCGTAATGCTCACAATCTTCCATGTCCAAACAGACTCCGAAAAGGTTTTTGCGGCAAACTCAATCCTACAGGTAATTCTGCAATAACATGCCACTGTAAGGTATGAATAAAGATACATCTGAATTCCTTCACGATCAGAACCCGTGGAGTGCGCCAGTCGTTTATCTGAAGAATCTGTTTGGCTGTTTCGCCTGATCACGAACAAAGTGGACAAGATGCCTTTTCCAATACCTGTGGAACAGACAAGCTGTGACCAAGAAGCTTCCTATCATTTTCCAGACCTTAGATGAAAGCAGCGTCTTAAGAGGACGGGCTGATAATAATATCCGCCGTTGTCTGTTGAGGTTACTCATGACCCCGAAAGGAACTGTGACCATTCTAAACGAAGAGCGTTTTCGAACAACAGCGGCATAACCTGTGAAACAATACCCCTTTATTTCCATGACACAAAGTTTGAAGCAGGAATAAGGCTACTAGAAGAAGTCAACAACTTTGATACTGGACGAATCCGGATATCTGAGCTTTTAGTAAACTATAATACTGTGGCCCTGTGGGGAGTGGTCCGAGTAAGCAAACTCCCTCTCTGTCTACCCAACCCCATCCGTCCAAAACATATAGTGTCTAAACCCCTATTCGGCAGCATCGGTTGAAAGAACTAAAATTGCTATTCTATATGTTATCATCTTCCTGAAGATTAAATTCAAAGAATGTACATTAGGTGGAAATCATGTCATCACTTCCAAAAATGACTCGAGCGAGTGAAGAGATCAGCCGAAACAGGACTAGGATATGTAAAAAAATATATATATTCACAACCTTTTCTCATCACATCAGAAACTAAGAAACGACTATTGAAAATTGCAATGATTGTCAACACATTTAATATCGACGTTACATAGCGTGTTCAACAAAAGAAAGCTTGTACTATCAATTTGAAAGCCAAATGCGTTGATGTCTTGAAAAATAAAGATTTGGAGTTCACATGACTGCATTATCCCACCGACTATTACTTACCCAATATGCCGTTAAATATTCAACACATGTACCTGGAACTTCTACTGGTAAAAATCATATTGATAAAATACTTATCATACTTGTAGGACTAAGAAATGACGAATATGTACAGAAGCACTTAAAGCGATCTCAGTTGCTCAAGGTTCCCGGAAGTAATACCAGTGACTGTGTGGCTAATAATACACCATATGATCTTTCACTAAACGCGGCCATTCTGATCAAACAGTCGGAGTTTGCCTCAGGCTCTAAACACATCCCTCCACGCTTCCAGAAGATTATCGCAAATTGCAAACATTTTTGGGCCACAAACTTTCCTGATTGGTCAACCTGTTTAGAAAAAGAGCTCAGAAAACATCCTCGGTTATTAGAAAATGCTGTTTCAGACCACGGTTTCCCTCATGGATTTTCCATGCATCTCGCTAAAATCTTTCACTTTAATGTTAAGTTAGCGGGATTCCTGGACGCATGCACTGCTTCAGGAGAGGTATGTCTGTTTTCATTCTGGCTTTGATTGAGCAACCTGTGTTGTGTGTGGCTATATATAGTCACATATGTAGTGCAGAATATGAATGTGTAAGAAACTTCTTGGATTTAATTCTGAGAAGGAAATTAAGTTTAGCGTAGTTGACAACTGTGAGTCACAGTATTTGACTCATACACACCGAAGGTGAGTTGTGTTTCTCAGTTGAGTACCTTAAGGTGCGAACGTCTAGGTAAATAGAAAAGTTAATCATTGAACCTCAGCTGCACTAGGCCACTGGCCAAATTGATCTTTAAAAAGTGGGCGTTAAAATGCGTATCCACAAAACACGTGCAAATTCAGAAGTCAATGTAGATTCTTTGCCAATCGTTGACAAGAGTTCTGACTTTTAGTACATTTCTTTAGCAGTTAATACTAATTATGCCGACTGTTACGTAATTTCTACCTGTCGTTTACTCTAGATCTTTCAGTTTTTGCGGCATTGTGACTCCATATACAAAGATTCACAAACAGTCAAAGGTTTTCAACGGGGATTCATCGTGGAGCCCTCCTTAGTTTATGAAAAGCTAGCGAATTACTTTGCCAAAAATGTAAGCCGTTAATTTTTGTTTTATTTTTGATCCACTTTGCCAAGTAATTAACTAAGGGCTACAGGCAACCCAGATTTAAGACAAAAGTAATGACAGGCAATAACTGGCTATACTAGGTTTGTAATTAAATCTGGGAGATTGTTGTGACTAGTGTTTTCTACTCAAAGAAGAGCATCGCTTGGAGTGTATATGCACTAGCTAGTATATCTACAAGCATTTGTTCTTTTGACAGATTACTGGGAAACAGATAGTTTGACTAAAGTAGTCTGCATTGTTTTCAGGGCCTTATTTCTTTCGCTTGTGTTCAGTACTAAATTAAAATCAGTGATTCCGAAAGGTAACCCACCTGTATGAAAGAAACCTCAAAGCAAGTCGTTGCCTTTAAATGAACAGATTTCAAACTTTCAGTTCGAAAATAGTCAAGATTATCAGGTGCGACCTATGACATGGTTCATTCGAAACTGAGGGTAGACCAAGGGAATAAGTTTTCTCAAGATGCTATCGCTATCTTCCCGCGTAATCTTATCCATCCAGTTTCTTGGCTATCTTGAAATTCGATTTTAAACACCGTGAACTGCCAATAATAGTAGGCATTTGTTACTTTGTTGTGCTTTTCTCCTGTTAATACTGTCGTTTTTAATAAATTTGACTTTCACAATAATGTAGCCCTTTTCCTTTTTATCATCGAAACCCATCGTTACCTCAGTGGTTTCACTTTGCAAAGGAGATCCTAATTATTTGGCCGCTAACCGTAAAACTTCTTTTCCTAACTACTGGCATCCCACTTTATCATCCTGTTCACAAATTCCATTCAAGATGCATAACTTAACATTCTTCCTGTCAGCTACATAAGATCTGTTCGTTTTATTAATCTTAACTTCCACGTGGAAATTTATGAGTCTTTATTATGAAATATATAGCCTGAAAATCTGGTAGTGGATTGGATTGGGTTTTACGCAAAAAGCCAGTACAACGTACTCACAGTTTGTTTCGACGTTTTATAATGGAAGTACTGATGTAAAGTGTACAATATACATATATTCAGGCGACTACACTGTCAATGATACCGATATCTCAGCCAAACCGCATAAATTGACATTCAGTAAACACTTACAGGCAGTGTTTCTACTTTGCTTCACAGAGCGTATACAGTACAGTGGTGAAGCATTTTGCATTCTTTATCATTGTCATCTAAACTTTAGACCAGATTTATATGTATCTAGTCTGAATACGCTAAATTTTTGTTTTTCTTATATGTAGGCTGACTGGAGTGGATACATTCAATTGCTTGGACGAATAAAACGGGAAGGTATGTTGCCTTCGCGAAACATTTATTTCTATGGATTGGAATGTTTGGGTAGACTTTTGAACAAGGGTGAACTACAATCTACACAATCTTCTTATTTTCAAAGTCTGTCAAAAAATAATTCGCTAAATCATATAAATCAAAAACCTGTAGTACTTATGGAAGAAATCGAAAACCAGATCAGAAATCTTTTAAGTGCTGCTGAAGAAGAGGTAAATAGTTCGTCTTGATGACTGTTTGGGCAAACTTCCTATTCTTTTCGGTTGTGGTAATCATAATCAGTCTATTCGAACTCTTAACTAATTCATGTATAAAATTATCATGACACTTTTGATCCTGTTTTGAAGCTCGTTGAGTGCTAGATGATTTTGGCTAAAAATAGATTTCTAGTTGTGTGAAGTATATTTCCCCCCCGTTACACTGCACTACAAACCAAATATAAAATAGGATACCTAGGGCTCGCAAAGTGATCATACGACTAAGGATGCCCCGGTCTGGTCTATTAGTAAGTGAACACTACCCTAGCCTGAGTCTTCTTTTAAGACTTCAGTCTTTTGTAAATAGGATAATAGGTCAGTCAACCTGTCCCCCCCCACCCAAAGGACATGTCACTAATTCTTCTGATAATGAAATTCTGTTGGTGATCACCCAATGATAGGATCTGTATCACACTCGAAATTGATTCAAGTGCGGTCTAAACACCTGATAACGACCTCTTACATAATTAGTCGTAGAAAAAGTAGGCATGGTGTATTAGTGAGTTTACAGTGGAAAATATTTTAGATGTTAAAGCACTCGGTAATGAACTAAACCATTTTCCACTGTGTCCATTTCATTCTCGTAATACCAGTGAAACATCGGGTGATTAGGTTATGCGCGGATATCAGGTTATTGTGCTTTTCTAGTGTGCCTGTTGAATGGATGTTGAATGTTAAGGTATTTGATAAAATAGTATCCATCGCTCGCCATCAGATCAGAGGATATGGGTAGTCCACCTAAAAAAGTTGGGAAGTACTCATTTCCAACCGACGGTACACACAGGATCTGAAATGAATGCTTGGTATACAAACCTACTTATCGGTAACTACAAAAATGCAGTACCCGACATTACTTTACTATGGTGTGCATCACACTTCAAGTCAAAAGTCTTAGGGATGGTTCTCTGAGACAACCGCCCGCTTCGGCATGGACTTCCGGTCGGTATGTTGACCCTTACACAAGCCACGATGATATGTGACCTAAATAAAGATCTTGAAGCACTCATCTGAATGTAACATCGACCATGTGTGCAATAATGCCTGGTCCTATGTTGATACAGACTGACTGATTGATTCGCCTGGATCTCACTTTACTAAAGCTGTCTCAATACATGAACCCAATTATACGTACTCTGTGTATTACGTTGTTGTTGCCATGTTTTTATTTTTATATGAACTGTTGTCCTGATTGTGCCATTATCTTTATTTCACCCAACTGCTCTCCAATGTCTCAAATTCTTATCTATTCGTATGGTTTTGAATCGCCAAATATTTTCTTTCATAACGTTGTCCCCTGGTGTAACAACTAATTCAGCCATTCTGAGGTCATGCATAACTTTTCAATCGGCGTCTTCAACATTCAGACCTTGATACAAATCGGACAACAGACGACTTTGGCTGGATCTCTGAATAGCGTTGCCGATTAAATTATATTGTATCTCCTTCGTATAACTTCTTTATCTATCAGCTCGAAAAGTATGTTCACTGTGCACCGATTCGGGAAACCTGTAACATCTTTATCCAGCCTTGTTTTTACTGATGTTGCACTGAGTGTCACAGCCGAAGATGCGTAGTATAAGACTGATAATCCTTCTGGAGCATCCACTTCAGCTTTCATTTTGCTGCTGGTGGTCATTAAAGTTGTTTCTATAAACAAGTTGACTTCGGCAAAGTGGTTACTCTCAGTGTTGCAATTAAGCTAGATTCAAGTCCAGCTGTTGGACCTCTGTTATGATTCGAAAACTGCCATGGCAGCTAACGATGTACGGATATCGACTGTCAGCCATCAACATTTAACAAATTCCTAGTTGGCTCCCGACCCGACTTATTAGTGGAGAAGTCACAATAGACGTGCAGGAACGTGTATTGGGGTCAAAAGACCGAAGACCAGAATAAAGGAAAATATGTCTAAAATATAGATAGTTTGCCGTTTAAAAGAATACCATTGATTGTCTGATCTATCATCTGTCTGACTGTAGACGTAATAACATGGAATAAATTTTGATTGGTTCTCCTCCAGACTAGTCTTTTCTCTATCCCGATATCAATCTCCAGCGGGTATAGATTAGCAATGGCTTCGCTTATAATGCACTATCAAAATGGCGCTTGAAGTCTCCTTTGACGTCGAAGAATGTTCCACCAATAAAGAATAAATCCTCGTGAGTTATCTGTGACGTTTTGACGCTGTTCCCTCCATTCCGGTGGACAGCGAATAAGCTATTACGTGTAAGTTTCTTGTACGATATCCTGAGGCACTTACCTCAAAATGCAAGGCTTGGTTATCAGAAGCCAAGCGTAAGATGAAAACATCAGCTGAGTTTGGTGTCTGTCGGAAGCTTCCCCAGCTCATCCAAGCCACAGATAGCAAGAAGTCTGATGTCACTGGAACGTCATGTAAAGTGAATGCTATGCCGATCAACAAACTATATAAACACTTAGAAAGCTGTGGGGTTCATTCCAAAAAAGCAACTTAGCTGGCATAACGTTCCACCAAGATTGAATTCAGTGTTTTGTGTTGTGCTCATTCAATTCTGACCTCAATGAAGCCAGTTTCTGCAGAGACTCCAAGGACTTTAGTGCCTTAAAGCATTTGGTCCAGACAATTTATCACTGGTATTTTAAAGATGGAAGTGAATCTGTAGCCAGGGGACTGAGTAAATTGTTTGAGGGAGTATTTCATACGGAGAGTGCCCCACCACTAGAATGAAGCCATTGTCCTACTCATTTTTAACAAGGTCTACCCAAAATTTGTAATAACCACCAGTGTACCAATCTGTTACCGGTAGCGTTTGAGGTATTGACTGTTGCCATACCTTATACATCCTACGAGATATGTGGAAAGCTGATGCATGAAGAGAAGGTAAAGTTTCACTTAAGTTGTGAGCAAGTCAAACATGTTCTTAGCCTCCGCCAGATATTTGAACACTCATGTACATTGCAGACCAACAGTCGTTTCTTACTCTTAAGGCTGCATTCCATTTTTTGGAAAAGGTTGTGTTCTGGGATCGTCTGTTAGAAAGAGGTGTCCCTGAGAAGTTTGTTAACATCTTGAAAGCTCAATAACTTAACACCTCAGAGTGAAGGCATGTGGTCACCTCTCTCCATTATTCAAAACCCACAGTGGGGTTTGGCAGCGTTAGCTAATTTCCCGATTCCTCTTTAACTTTGCCATCGGTGGCGTTCTCGGGACGGCTCTGAAGGTGCGTAGTGGTCGTGTAGACCTGTCACCACATGAATGACTTTTCTACCTGGATTGTGTAGACGATATCGTTTTTCTGTGTGACAACGCACAAGATACTAAAATTGTACCTGGTCAACTTCTGATCAGTGTCCGTAGACATGACGTATGCTTTACATTGTCTAATTTCTAAGTATTTTTTACAAGATTGGTAATAACCCGTACCTGCAATCACTCTTACTGGTGAACTATTGAAATTTGTCTAAGAGTTTGTGTAACAGGGCTGTTGTGTAAGTGTTGATGGAAGTGTTACCGATAAGATTTCTAACTGTACATCAAAAGCCGAGGTAGTATATGCCAAATTAGGTCACTTTTGTCGCTGCCGTGATGCTAGCTTTGTAAAAAAAATTGGATGCATAATGCATCGGCTCGAGCAGTTCTGCTCAGTGCCTATCAATCATGGCCGCCGACACGAGAATGTAAAATAACTCTGCATGTTTGGTCAACGATATTTTTGTAGATTGCTCGCACCCGGTTAAATCACCATATAAATAATTAAGAGGTGTGAGGTCACGCGTTTGAGGATGATGGGGATCTCCATTCACCTAGTGAAGTTGTCTTATGACAGCTTATTCAGTCGTATGGACATATGTTACTCATATTGTCTCAACGGCTACAATAGCTTCCACTTTTCGTTGAGACAATATTAGATATGGCTCAGAATAGAAAAGAGTAGCGGTCATTTAACCTTTCTTTGTTTTGTATTCGTTAAAAGTCACAAACTCAATAAAAAGTACCTGATCGAATCGATTGTCTACTGATTCTTGTTTTCACTTTTAACTTGTTCTGTTGCATTAATTTGTGTAGTGCACTTCTTGATAAGCGTGTTGCACCTATTTTGTGATAACACCGTGGTTACTTAGGCTTATCAACAGTTATGGGAACCATGACATTTAAGAAACGAGAAGAGAATTCCACTAACAGTGTGAAATATTTCGATAAATCCCATGGAGAATCTGTACGCAAGATGGATTTTAGAAACCACTTTGTATAATTTGTAATCCAAATGACTAACAACACTATCCATCATCGAAAATAGAAGGAATATTTTCGTAATGAAAATATGCTTAAATTAATCATATATGTATATTGAGCCACTCAATAGCACAGGCTGTGTTGTACTAGGGTTTAACCCCACATGGACTGTTAAAGATGTTGTGTTGATCATTTCTTGTTCTATATTTCATTCGAGATATCTTTGTAACTGTATTGGTGGGTTTCGAAAAACTTAATTTTCAGTCAGTCGACATATATACTGTGTAAGCTTGTGCGGTAACCTTTCAACAGTACCAACCTGACCACTAGGGATTAAATGTGTATAAGCCTTGAACACTTCACATACCTTCAAGAATGTATGTAAAAGAAGAGTAGTCATAAGCGAAATCTCCCTGAGAATACAAAAAGGTATTTCGACTATTCTGTCACCTGTGTTTTTGACAAGAACATAGCATACCTTTTTAGAATTTGTGTATTCATAGCAGTTGTTCGTATCATTTTGTCATGTTGAAAACAAGGATATTACCAATCAACAGGTAAAGTCACATTTTTCCTGTCTCTCATAACTTTGAAGTGTTTTTTACTTCTAGTAGGGACACTAAATCTGTCTAACATGGATGCACTATGACACTTGTAGGAAGTCAGGTTTTTCTAAAAATATTCAAGTGCATTTATCGAGATGCTTATTTCGATTTGTTTACATTTCCAGTCGCAACAATAAAACAAAAGCAAGTTTGGTAAACTTATAAAAGTCAAAATAAGGTACGATGGCTAACCGTGAAAACTGACTGCTAATTGTAACAGTTAGTGAAAGTATGAATAAGCAATGTAAGATCGTTACGGAGGTAAGTGCTTTGAAATACAATCAGATAAATTAGGACCTATACCACTTTTGCAATGCTACTAGCTCCTTTCTATCATCCCCAGGAAATCAGTTGTGTGTACTGGATTTCATACTGCATTAACCCGCTTACATATTGTATTATTCATTCTCATTGTTGATTTAGATTCGTAAAAACTGATAATATCATTTACCTGCTCCACTTTTTCGGCTGCTCTGTCTTAAGCGTTTTGACGTGTAACAAATTACGTCACTATTGATCAACATTAGAATCAACCTAATGGGCGAGATTATCTATTATTCTCATCATGGCTGTCATGCAGCTTATGATTTATGAAGAACCGTTGTGACCGATTTGATTAGAGGTGCACTCGTTTCACTCACGTAAAGCTAGTTAGGATTTAACGAGATATCTATGCATCTTCCCACTGTTACCGCTGATACATCTTCATCTTCTCCTCTACCAGTTCTTTTGCTTAAACCATCATAGAATGAAACGGCGTAATTCACTGGATGACATTCCCAGCGAATTTTAATCCTCATAGTCACATCAATGTAGTTATACGACGTTTTGGTTTAGTCATATACTTCTATAACCTTTTGTTCTTAGGTTTTGTTGTCTATAGACTTTTCCACATATAAGAAGCCTTACATATGATTATCATTTAGGCCTGAATTAAGATGGCGTTTAGACCTACGCACTCACTCGTAGGTAACTTTTGTCAGTAAGAGCATTCTATTAAACTTCAGCTAAAAGTAATTCAATCTCGCGAATTCTACCCAATGACAATAAGGTCGGATACATAAACGACGCAGCTGTTACTTTATGTAGTGACCGGGCTTGTATATCACACTGACCCAACGACCTACTCTGGCTAAACCGCCTACTCCGTCGAGATCCTACCATGCCTAAAAGGTCTATTGGATAGTGGTAAGACAAAAGTAGTTACCGTGGTATTCCGAAATACCACACTGTGATGAGGTCTGAGGGCGAAGCCATGCTAGCTGAATGGGGTGGGACAGCAGTCAAGTGTTTCTCTTGAATGATCAGCAGTGCCACCCTGGTGCTACCTTCCTAACGGGAAGGACTAGGGGGTAGAAAAGTTCATCCCTAAAAATAACACACCACCTGCTCCACGGTCTTCCGGTGCCGGTGGTATGGGTTTTCGTCTATCCGGCGTTAGAACAACCAAACCTCTAAACAACAACCCGCTAAAGGTTGTATGTGACAGACCTCAAGTAGACGTACTGTGGGCTCTCCAGTCACATAAATGTTTCCCACTTTCAGGCATATTAAGAAGAAATAGCCTTCCGTGGTATGGGCAGCCAGGAATCGTCAACCCTCCTCACGCTTCGAGTAATATTCAAGACCGAATCAAAAATAACCTGTCCTCCTCAACTCTATCCGCTTCTTTGCCTTTACCTCTTGATACTAATATTAAGCCTCTTACACCTACTTTAACCTCTCACTCTGCAATCATTACCAATCATCAAAGCCATAGAAACTTTATTCCGAGTCTCTTAAGACCCCACCATGGATTTTATGTAGGAGCTTTCAACGTCCGAACTTTATGCCAAATTGGACAGCAAGCATCTCTCACCAAAACTCTGAAATCTCTATCCAAGTATTTTTGCTACCTTTCTGAGACGCGTATACAGGACCCGAGTGTGGTTAATAAATTGACCTCACTTGACAATAGTAGTGGATCTTCAAAATACACCTTACAAGTTGCCGGAGACCCACTGACCAGCTTTCTGGGACTTACTAGTGTAGACATAGCAGCAAGTTGTAGAGCATAGAGCTCAATTCTCAACTGGGCACCAGTCGACATCTGTCGATATGCTGCCTGACTGAATGGATATGTAATAACTGAGAGGCATTGTAAGACCTAATGACATCTATTCATAATCTCCACCTACGAGCCCACTGACTGCAGTTTGAGTGATACAAAGGACGAATTATATGAGAAGCTGTCGGTTTTGCCACATACAGAAAAAGGTTCAGTTATCGTCATAATAGCAGGAAACTAAGGTTCACACAGGAAAGCTGAGACATTCGGAAAAGTACCTTGGGGTATCTGTGATATCTCATGCTAACAAACCGACAACGGTGATCGTGTGTTCCAATTTTGTTCCCACACTCACTTGTTTGCGTCCAGCACTTCGAGGACAAGGAGATACACTTACGTAGCGTTTGCCGACATCAAACCAACACTGGACACAGATAAATCATACTACTCTTAGGCATCGTTAGAAAAAATCAGTTCAGGACTGCAACTCTTTCTGGAGTACCTTCTGGGACTCTGGTCATGCATTAGTATAAGCACGGGTATGTCTGTGGCTTACTGGTCTCAGGAAACATGCGTCAGTTAAACCTATGTACGCTCAGTTGGAAAATGAGAACATTAAGTACGTACAATTATGTTAGCAGAACTTAGAAACGTAGTTAGATGCAGCATAATAGAGTTTAATATGTTAAAAGGAATCTGGATAAGAGCTCAATCTTGACTACGCATGCTCATATAATAGAATGTAATAAGATAACGAACTTCAAAAATATCTTAGGTAGGGAAAGAGCGATTAATAATTGAGTTGGCACCTGACACGTGCAATGCCAGTGCTTCAACATCAAGTCCCAGTATATGGAAAATTCTACTACAAATAAAAAGCAGTTGGACTATAAAGCCAAACCAAAAGGTTGTATAAATACACTGATATAATTATCAGCTATAAATTGTACTCTAAAAGTCCTCCAGTAAATATTAGTTGCACTCAGTGATACACCTGATAAACTGCAGTAATAGTTCATCCACTTTTTACCCTTGTTGTCGATAGTTGATGTAAGTTGTGTCTAACAAACTTCTCTGAGCGAAGTTACTTTTATACTTAATTCCTGTTTTATCGGTTCAAACTAAACTTTTAACTTTTGCAGCTATTTATAACTATTTATTTTACATGCTTATTTGTTAAGACTCTTCAATCATAGTTTCATGTAGTAGTAAGGTTGAGCCACAGAGTTACTTCTTGCTGCACACAAAAGTTTGAATCCTAATATGATTTTACAGTAGCTAACACTAGTGTAATAGTACAACTCGATGAGCATTTTTTTTCGTTGGTCATTGAACTATGTTTGACTGAGTCATGTTTAATGGTATGTAATTTTAGTAAAACTTTCCTGGGCTATTCATCGGTATAATGTACAAATTCAGTATCTATTTAAAACAGGGTAACTACTCGCTCGAATCTCCGGAATACTTTTGGTAGATATTGACCGTGAAGTTTTTGGACTGTTTTTATGTAGCCTCTGTTTTGTTCTTCCGGTTTGGCTGTGTATATGCGTCTAATAAGGTTGAAGTAACTTTAGTTGTGTTTTTTGAAAACTATAGATCTGTAAATTAGTGTCTGAGTAGGTTTAGTAACAGTACACCAAATTATCTCATCTACTTACGATTAAGAGATCGCTTCATTTCCTAATTTCCTTATTGATTAATCACAGACTATAACCATTATTAGAGTTTTGAAACCACTGACTTGTTCTAGGTCCCTCCTAGTTAAAATTAGATTATCTTGAGAGAAGTAAATCTTCACATAGTCGTAAATTTTTTGCAGAAGCAGTCAGTTAATTTCGTCCGTAAATATAATATTAAACTATAAAAAGGTTTGTTGTAGTGAAGTGTCTATCTAAGCATCTTATTACTGACGATGTTTTTGTTTTCCATTGATACACTGTGCTGGGATAAAGCCTGGTCTTTTTTAGACTTTGAATGCTTGGGTCATGGTGGACTGGTTATTTTTACGAATACCATCTGCAAGTTTGTAATCATCCTAAAACAACTTCATGTTTATTGGTCTTCAGTAAACGTACTAGTTGAATGTTAAGTTACGCTTATGTATTCATTTAATCATCGCTTATGTCATCAATATCTTCCTACGCTTATTGCTTTCTTTGAAAAAAATTAGGGACATGATTTAACTCAAGGTTTATTGGATTTATCTCTTGAAGAAGGAACATTGAAACATATTCTCACTGCTTTACTGCATATACGACCGATTTTCAATCCAAATCTAAATTACTTTATTCATTATTCATCTAGCGATATTTCGACAGATGTTAAACATATTACAGAGGTGTCGTATCCAGCTCAAAAGCACTTAGATGAAGTGATTGTGAGTTGTACTGCTTTTTCCTTGCTTATAATTGTATATTTAGTTGAAATATGTGCTACTTTTTTTCAACAATTGAACTGGTCATTTTCACTAGAAGAATTTTTTTCAAAGTTTACGCATATAACTTAGAGAGTGAAAATCAGAATGTGATTTTGTTTTACTTATCTGACATAGTTTTACTCTAACCGAGTTCTATCTAATGATGCAACAGAACTTATTTGAACTATCGTCTTTATTTTTCATGCGGTCTGTAGGTTTCATAGCTTGTAGTAAAAAATATTGATTGTGTAACCTACTTTTTGGAAATTGTCTTTTTACATAAACAGACAGAAACAAACGAATTCACACTTCTTACCACCTTTTTAATATTGAGAACTTTGCATCTACACTTTAAATCATTATAGGGTGTCAATCGTCTCTGACTGATCTGAAACAATAGTATTATTCTGTTGATTAGCTCCACAGCTTAGAAAGTTCACTTCGGACAGTAATTAAGTCATAATTTCTTCAACTGCCCATCTGACTATCGTTTATTTAACGCTAGTTATATCTAGTGGTTGTTCTGTATAAAAAATCTGAAGATTCGTCGTTACTTTACAAGCAGGTTGATTCTTCAGGTAATCATTCAAGAAGGTAGATGTAATAAATAAAAGAATCTTGTATCAAATACGATTAGATTATGCACATCCTTCAAACAGCATTGAAAGCATTTCTACTAGATAATAACTCATACTCGACCACAGAAAACTCCATGATTTCGTTTAAATTATTCATGAGTATAAAACACACACTTTCTCCCTCGCTGTTGAAATTTCGACCTCGATTCGATGAATGTTTTGATTAGACATAACTTTATTTTGTCTTTCTTACTCAAAGCATAAATGTGTAAATCCGTATGCTGAAAGCTTTAATAATTCTGGTGATATTGCAAAGGCATTTAAGGATCAAATGCATTTCGAACGAATGACTGAAGTATCTATTTCACCTGTACTATCTCCTTTTGGACAATCAGAATCTACTTCTCTACCATTAGAGTTGAAAAAAAACTTGGTAAGTTATCGTATCTTGTATATGTGTGTGCGAATCGTTTAAATAGAGTGACTTCCAAACATGCTTTGGGATGTCGTAAAATAGTAAAAACTTTGTAATGCTTGTTACCGCCAAGTTATTTGTTTTACAAAGACCGATTACTCGATTTAATTTGGAAGGTATTATCCTCACTTCAGTATGTCCTTTTTCCTTAAGGTTTTCAACTGGGCCAAAAATTAGAATTAGTTTGTAAATGTTAATTAACTTAGACTATAAACAGTTGCAGTGTGTTCTATAGTTTGTAGAATCATATGATGATATGTATGATAGATAATTGCATTCTGATCAGATTCTATTGTCCGAATAAAAGTAAATTTTCCTATTTTAATTATTTCTGTAAGAAATGATATGTATTTGCGTTTTGGTCAGTTGCAATGCACTTTATTAGTTCAGCGATAAAGTCGGTAACTGCAACACTAGGTGATGCGGGTTAGAATCTCAAAGGATAACAGTTACTTTGAGGTTGCAGATACGCCTTGCCAATGAGTGCCTGCAAGCACGATCCTAACTGGCTGCTATCAACCAACTAAGAGGATTCAACTTTGCCCAACTTTGTCAATCCCTTTTCTTTGCTGTCTTCAGTTTTTGCAAAGGCGAATTCTGCGACTAGGTTATGAGTTATACCGTCAGTTTACTAATGATTTACAATTCTCACGATCCACGTTGACATTTCTCATAGCTGAGTATTTTTTCAACTGCCAAGCTGTGTTGTCAACAGGATTTCCGTTGGAAACCGCCCACTAATCATGGGTTTACGAAATGTACTACTGAATAACCTGAGTAGTTGAAAACCATCCAAGTTGGTCTATAGATTTCACCCGGCTAAATGGCTGGTGAGCCAGGCCCCAAACCAACAAAACGACCGTCTGGTGTTTAGATCACTGTTATCTGGTTGGCAAAACCTACAGATCAGCCTGACTACTCAATTTATCCAGTAGTATATTTACGAGTTATATACTTTCCGATCAGTTAATTTTCCTGCTACTTCAAAATAATATCAGATAGTTTGATTAACAATATTGCAAGAATGCTGATTGGCTTCAACCTTTATATCTTAGCTTCAGGTGGTGGTTATCTCAACAGAACTGTCCAAGTTTCCTTTACCATTACTAGGTGCACGATACATTAGCAAATACCGCCGACTGATATTTGCGAATTTCCTTTTCATTATAAAGTTGCGGTGATGAACTCTTTCCGGTAATGTCCAGTACAAAAATATTCATAAAATTATCAGAATTGATTACTTCACTGTCGTTATTCTTTTGCACTGTTAAATAGTCCTTAATTTGGTGCATTATGTTCGTTGATCTAGTGCTCCAGAAACTCGATATTGCATCTCGACGAATACACTGACCACCAGAAACTGCTATTTATTGTTTTACTTGTTACATATTAAACGTATTATTTCCATTTTGCTTTTGAAAAAATATCCCTATGAGTTTTGCTTGCTTATTCTCAGCATAATGCCCTTATCAAAGAACAAAACCACTGGCGTCGGGTTTTATTAGTTGCTTTTAATGAACAGCTGAAGAGGCTTAAGCTTACTCATGCAAGTAAGTTTTGTATCTTTTTCTTCCAAACGAGTGTTTTTTAGTGTTAAAACTCATGAACTGTTGTTTCCCTGCTGAAAGATGTAAAACGGCGCTTCAATCTGTCTTACTAAAAAAGAAATGCAAAGAAACTCTGAAGTCACCTGTCCACAGGTGATCAAGTAGTGACAGAAATTTGACGATATAAAGCTAGGTTGAATTTTTTGACTACCTCCGCAAATTCCAAAACTCTGTACATAAAACAACGTAACAAATGTATAATTATCATCTTGACTATCAGAGATAACCGTGGTTTGGAAGACTAATATTGATACTGGGTGATGATTGAAGATGAAAAGAAAATTTGGACAGTTGCCGGATTCAAACCACCGACCACCAGGTTTCTGACCCGATGCTGTACTAACTGAGCTACGAGGTCCGACTGCTGACCAGATTTCTATTTCACTTCAATCACCAAGGATTTTGTCCGACTACCATATGAATTCGTGAGGCGTTACTATCACTTTATTGTACTCACACTGGCTGCCTAGTCAGGACTCTTCTCATCCTAATCCAAAATGTATAATTGTCTACTTATATCAAAAGGACTATGAAAAAAAATTAAAATTCAACCAAGTCTCATACTTTTGACGAAAATCTCAAGAATCGTAAAGTACGATGAATAAGTAGAACATTATGAACTACTTGCTAATTTGGAAATAACTTTTATTGACCATTCACACTTATACTTTGTATTAAGGTCAAATTAATGTGATTGATAAACAAATTGTGGATATACAAGTTAAGATGTTAATTATATGAAATTATATCAGGTTATTTTATTTATATCGTATATGAGAGCACCTTTCGAATGCTAGTTAGTAAGTCGGATGCAGTCTTATCAACTGTAACTTGTTGCTGGGGCTATCAGATTGATTTTTCCGAAAGGTGTACATCTGCATCTCATTTGTTGCTTAATTCCTAACAATTTACCACTAGTGAAGGTCAAGAACGCTTGCTTATCATTGTCAGCTTCTAAAATGCCAGAAAGAGATATTGACCTTTTCAGTTTGTGATTCTCACTCATTACTTTCGTATCTGTTAAGATACCATGATGTATATCAAATTCTTGATGTAAGAATAGCAAATTTCATCACAGCTCATTAAATATTTGAGCTCTGACCAGAACGTACAAATCGTTATAAACTTTTTCCCCCACAAAACTTGTACTGTGCTTATATATATATATATATATATATATATATATATATATGCCATGCAATTGTGGTGTGACTTTCAAGGTCACTGTTGCAACCACTGAAGTAGCTAATTGGATTTTTCTGTTTCGGTTGGGAAGGTAGATTTTCATGAAATCAAGAGGATTACTTGATTATTTCAGTTGTTGCTTAGTTCACCTTTAAGATCACTTGATATTGTGACTTATTCCCGAATTAACAACAACTCTGGTTGTCATTTAGTGATAATCTTACAAAAAGTTCTGTTTGTAGTGGACACAATAAAACACTAGTTACTTTACCTTAAATGGATGCTATAACAGTAACAATTAACGCTATCACAATATGGCCAGTAACCAAACCTAATATTGCTTAGAGGTTAAGAAATTTGTTCATATCTACTTCACTATATTTTGTTTTCATAAGCTGCCCGATATAGATATATCCTCCGAATTCACTATCTCACCTAAGTATTTCATTTTTCTTCTGATTGTTAAAACTTGATATGTTACGTAACAATGCCATGCTATATTTTGAAAATATGTTTGTTTATTTGCCATCTTCTTAATCTTTCATTCACATTGATGTTATTTATAGAAAACTGTTCAATTACAAAATATTCAGAAATCATGAATATTTTTCAGGTTTCTAAAGTTGTTTAAATCTACCTTGGTGATTTAAATCGAGTTTAGATGGAAATCCTTTACGTTCACATATCTTCAGCTATCTCACTAGTTTGACGGTAGATTTCTGTACTTCATGACAGATTTCCCGACTTTGTTGTCGTGTAGTGTTGTACTAAACAATAGTGGAACGTTAATTGAATGAAACAACTTGGTTTTGAGTGGATATTTATAACAGAAACTCTTACATGCCAGCATCATAATTCAACCTGAACACTTCCGTGTATCGTTCTAGTCTTGAATCTTTGGGACTGATTTGTTTTTTTTTCGCTTTTCGCTATTAATAAACTTGATGTTATCGAAAACTGTGTTTATTTTTTATTCAGAAGGAAAACTAACAGCCTATCCCTTCCTGAAAATTTTGCCTGCATCGCACTATGTGGATCTCATGATTACGGTAATTCGACTTTCACGTTTTTTTCATGTACGAATTCATATAAACTGACTGCTGATTTGCATACGTGTATAGTTTCGATTTCGTTTATCAGGTTATACCCCAACTGCTAAGCGTGTAACATTCTGTATGTATTCTTAAAATAATGGAATTTAAGTATGTTGTATGAGCAAACAAAATAGTGAACCTTGATCATTTCCAGTATTTGAGTCTTCTGTATCAAGTAGTATGAAACTCTTTTTATATGCTTTGCAAACTCAGCTGTTTTGAAAATGTTTCTATTATCGGCTTTAAAGACAGCAATGTTGATTCAATTTGTAGTAGATGTGCTTAATTACTAAATGATATCTCTGTTCGTTTAAACTAACGTTCTTGAGATCTTTTACTTGGGGGAATCATGAACTGGAGGGGTTCTACAGTGTATCGTAAAAAGTTTACGTTGTCAATTGTTGAAGTAATAATTTCCAATACTCATTAAAAATTGTCTTTTTGTGCTTAAACTCTCCCTTTTTATACTCAGTTTTTCCTCATAACATTTTGTTACACTGTAAGTTACTGCACGCTTGTGCTTTGTTCTCAACCTATAGTAATAACCTGGACAAACAAGTGTCCGAATTGAGTATTAGTGTATGAAGTCTTTGACTGTTGGTTTGAACCATTTGGTGCGATGCAGACTAGCCGGTTGGGGTCCGCAGGACAAGAGGAACCAGTGGTTGGAAACTCTAGGTTACATGACTCAAAACTGTCAGTGGTGCAGATGTATACACATTATACTCATCTTAACGACGCTATACCGAACCTCACCATTTTCTCATCCTTCCTTCCTCTCTTTTCGTACTTTGTATTTCTTTTGACTGAGTTTTCTTTTCTTCATCTTCCACTTCACTGCCTTTTTACTTGATGTACCGATATGAGCTGTGGCAACTCGGACCGTTACTCAGTAATGCCTGGTGATGATGATGATATTTCTTGACCTGAATACGGCATTCGACTGTCGATTATGAGGAATTGTAGTAGTGTCTGACTGTGAAAGGAGTACCGACCAACTGTGTGATGCTAATCAAAGCTCTCTACCCGAACTCGCGAAGCCTTGTAAGGGCTTATGGAGCGTTGCCATCGAAATCGACGATAACTGGTACTTCCTCTTAGGGATACCCACTGTTGTCACTCCCATTTAATTTTGCTATATGTAAATGAATGCACACTTCCAAGGTACTTCTGACTTCACAGGCATTGATTTACTCTTTGGAGCCTACTGCTTAGGCACACTGGACCGGCACAGTTTTTCACGGTAGTCAGTTCTCTAGTAGATCAGGAACCTTCTGAATTTTATCTATGTTTTCTCAATATCAACTTCCGTAGAAAATATTTTTCTGAATTCTGTCAAAATTAGTGGAGTATATATCCTTTAACACAAATAATAATAATACTAATAGTAATAATAATAATACTGATAGTAATATGGAGGATTTATGCTTCTGAAGCCCGATGGATGATTAGATCGTCTCGGAATGTTAAACAGAAGAGAATTATTATCTCACTAACTAGCTTCAGCACTCGTGCAACAAAAAAGTGCCACATAACAAGCATGTTTCGATGTGTTCAGTTGATATTTTTAGCTTACGGCTGGGTCCTTCCTGCATAGTTGTGTATACTAATTTTGCTTTCTTTCCTGTGAAATACAAAATTATTCTACTAAATAAATTAATCCTTCACCTAGCAAACGTTGTGTGTAACTGTTGCTTTTTCTTTTTAAGGGCATTGACATGTTGATTGTAGATTCAGCGCTGCAGTACACTTCTTCATCATTTGCTTGTCTGCAACTTGGTCGACGGGTTGAACGTGCTTGTACTGTATATCGTCAAGAAAAACTGGGATATTTTAAGCAGGTATGTACATAAAAGTCCTTTTTCGTTTTTAGACATGATATCATGTCCTTTCTCAGTAAAGTATGACTGAATTACTAAATTCGTTTTTGCAGAAATAAATATTCACAGTATGTTATGTTTACATATCTAGGATCATCTTTTGGGTGGTTGGATTAAAATCTGATCTTAGGTCTAACAACTTTTGTTGATTGTAATTTATATGATTGTGAGTTGTGAGTGATTGCTTCAGCTCTCAGCTCAAAGCCTGTTTTACTCACTTCACTCTGAGAAGCCTTAATAATCACGAAAAAGAATTTCTGACAGTTTAGTTTGAAATTGTGTGGTGAATTTACGTCTGAAAAGTTGAGAAACCCTTTACATTTTTCAAAAATATACCACATATTACTATAGAAGCAAGGTGCTAGTATTCGTTTCCTTTTGATCATTCATTTGAATTTGTTTTTGATCTTGGCTTTTTCAAGCTGGAGTTATACCAGACTTCGTTTGCATACACAGTGTAATCTAAACCTTTGTCACACTGAACAAGATACTTCCATGTTGAAACTTAATGCATAAGAAGTGGACTCCTTGATATCTTCTTGAGCAGCATGACATTAGACAGCATCTGCATGTTTTTCATGTGCTTTTCATAAAGTCCTTACATTCTTCTTGGGTTCGAGAATTCTGTCTGATACAAAGGAACTAATCTTCCACTTAGATCAGTTATAGGCTCTAGTAAATATTACTGTATCACGGCGTGCTGTATCAAATAGTCTGATCTAATATGGAATCGCACTCTAATGCAGTACCTATATTCTATACCTACTTAAATGAGCTCTGTTCTTATAGTCCATTTGTATATTCTTAGCAGTTTTTTCAGCTTATAAGTCCAACCTCAAGAGTGTTTCTCTTTTGATACTCTACTATCTTTAATCTATATAGTTTAAACATGTCTCGTGTAATAATCTGAAATTTGATAACTGCACTACATAATTCCTCAAGTAATTCAGTCTTTGTAGATCATTAAACACTTCTATCAGACCATTGATTATATTTGCTGCAGATGCTAATCATATATATTTGATATTCTCATGGGTTATGTGCGCTTGTCTTTTACCAGAGTTTATTCACATACACCTTATCGAAATGCTGCAACTTTTCAGTAATATGAGCAGAGTGACTAAATGCCAGTTACACTGTATTCCTCATGTAGGAGGAGAATCTACTCTCTTTTACATACTAGGATTTTGTTAAACGGATACATGAAATTCATCTACTGCTTTGCTTAATTTTGTCTTTAAAATTCAGTGTGTTCTGTGAAATGTCTGATTTTTATTCTTCAGTTGGAGAAAATGTACATGACTTACGCGAATCTGTTCAATGAACGTGAAATGAAATTGCCAAACTTTCGTCACATGTGGTTACATTCTCTACAGTCTCATATAGATCAAGGGCCAAATACGGTTAGTTTTGTGTTTGATAAGTTTTTGTATTGAAATTCTCACAACATAAAGTATATAAATGTATCATTTATTTTCCCCTTTAAGTACTTATCATACAGACCCCTCATTCTGAGTACGCGGCATCCGTTTGTCGTTCTATAAGTGTGTAGTGTTTTCTGGTGTGGAACTTCTGTAGTGCACTGCTGTTCTTGAGGTGTATTTGATTGGTGCTAATGCGTTTTAATCATTATGGTCAATCAGTCCAACTGGTCATATAATTGATCCAAATAATCTTTTCGGATAACAATATTTGGTAACCCAGTCAGCAACACTCCCTAACCAGATCAAAATTATGTAAACATCAGCGTACGCCATATATGTTGACAAACCTCTGGAAAGACCGTTAATCTATGCTAAATCAAACAATAAGAGAAACACACTTCGTACATATATTCGTAGTTTATGCAGTAACTGTTACAGGAACACAAAGGTGATTAACAAGTCATGCAAAAGTTCCCATTATTGCGACTTATTTACGAGCAAAAATATGTGTGAACTTGTTAATCGTGTGTGTAGCGTCCTGATAATAAATTATTGGATCATAGGTTTGAACTCCGCCCCGCCAACTTCATGTACCTGGAACGTATCATAAGCTCTCATTCGCTAACTACAGCTAATCGTTTAGTGCATAGACCTTTGTCATTTTCTGAGTTGCATTCAGAATAAGTGAGAACAAAGGAACTCCTTGAGGCTGTGCAACTTAAAAATATGTTTTAGCACATTCTCAGACCAACAAAACTTTGTAAAATGTAGCATAGTACTGCCTATAGTAGTGTAACTTAATCAATTTTGCATTACTCAGAAACTCTACCTAATATTCGTCATCTTGTCTCATACCTGTTTATTTTCTTGATCACCTCAAAATAATACAATCTTACGTTTTTGCAAGGCTATTACTTGAGTGAATCAAACTAAGCTGAGTCTGTATTAAACAAATAGTTGTGTATGATTCAAATATACGAAATTACTCTGTAAGAGATAGTGATTCCGTATTTTTTAACACTTTTACAGTAAAGTAGAACTCATCCGACTTTAGATTCTCAAGGTGAAGTTTTGACATTCTTCTTGAAATATCGTTTTATCTTTGAATAGCTTTCCATGGTTATAAGCCTGGTAGTTTCACCTGTTTAATCTCATTTTTCCAACTTAGTTAGTTAGTCATGGTATTCATTTACTTACCCCTCGAATAAATTGACACATCTACAAACGGCAGTAATTATTTGATTGTAGTTATTTATCACCTCACTAAGCAATACACTTTAAAGTTGTAGGCATATATTGAAGTTACATTAATGTTCAATCGGGTTAATCATATGAATTAAAGTGGACAGTATTTTCATGCAGTGAACTTATACAGCAACGTGCACCTGCACATTCTATATCATTCCTGAGTGTTAAATGTTTTTTATTCATATATATATATATTGTTGTTGTTGTTGTGTCCAAAATCTGTTTTCATTTTTTTGTACGAGCAGCATCACAGCTGTGTTCCGTGGCCACCAGTAATTCTTTTTATGATTGGAGAGGTATTATACAATCTTATATACGAAAACTTGCGTTTCGATTCAAACGGTCCACGTAGAGTTCGACATGAGTTCTCTAAGCATGTCTATCAGGCAACCAGTTTACTTTGTCGCCAGGATACACCTGCTCTGTTTGAAGTACTCGCAGAGTTCCCAACAGAAGTAACCAATGAGATTAAAGTGAGTGTTACACTTTCTTAATTTGTTAAAAAATCTCAGTTTGTTGCCTGTCTACCCCAAAAGTGAAACAGTAACTCAGTTTGATTTAATTTGCAGTTGTAACTTCATTCTAAATAACTGGTTTTTAAACTGTAACGTACTTTCTTTGTGTTGGTGGATGTAAGGTGAACCGAAACAATCAACAATGTATTTATCTTTTTGACCGATCATTCAATTTAGTGCATAATGAACCAGATATTTGGCTACATGATATATATATATATATATATATATATATATATATATATTATTATGTAGACATATCCTTTTTTCTCAGGGCTGACATCAGTTGAGGAACCATTGAAAATCCGGGAGCACTGAATATTTATTTCGTTCTTGCTTGAGACTCCTCAACAGTACGCACTCATGACACCATTTCGCCAGGGATCAAACTCAGGACTCTTGGATTTCACGGTGAATACGTAAACCATTCATTCACTTGGTTGAAGTTCAATGGTCCACAGTTTCCTACTTCTGTCTATTCGCTATATAACGTGACAATCCATCACGGTCTTCAGTTGACGTCCACTTCACTTCTGACTGGTTGACCTCACTGTGTGGTTAGCGCGTTTGCCGTGAAACCCGAAGGTCCTGGGTTCGATCTCTGGTAGGATCCGTGAGTATGTAGTGCTGAGGAGCCCCACACTAAGAAAAAGCAAATGTCCAGTGCTCCTAAGTTTTTACTGCTCCCCAATCGATGTCAACCCATGATGAACACAACCTTGAAAATAAAATCCATATATATATATATATATATATATATATATATATATATATATATATATATCAAAACTGTCGATTTGTATAAAGTCCACCTGACCTATATAAATTATGTTTCGATTGATTTTTTTTTAAAACTATTCCTAGGTGACGTATTACTTACTGTCATTATTATTGCCAATGATTTTTGATCTTGTAAATAGTAGTGATAACAGTGGTTTTGATTTTAATCGTGATAATTAATCAATGGTTTGTTTCAATCTAGATGTATATGTTTTTTGATGCCCTTTATATACACAGGTTTGTTAAAGGTAGTAGTGATGTATCCTACATCTAAGCTTATTTCCTATCACTAGTTAATCAGGACGAAATCACTAGCAGCTATAAGCTTTGTGGTTGCCTTTGTTAATATCGATGAATCAAGTTTTTTTAATCCAGGAAATCGGATTCTACCCAATCTTAAGTGGTGCAGAGGTCAAGCGAAGGGCACTAGACAAAACTGACAAGTCGATCGATGAGGTTGTCAACCTTTATCGACTGATATGGCGTGGATATGTGTGGCGCATACCGATCCACTGTCTACCTTGTCATGCTAGGAGAAGTTAGATTGGTTTGGAAGATAGTATCGAAGGTATTAAAGGACTGTAGTACAGGATTATCGGTCTATAGGGATCAGATATCTGAGTAAACCTTAACAGCCACATACCCGAGGAAACCAGCCAGGTTTCAAACCTAGTCATGACTGTGTCAATGAAGACTTAATCCTCCACCAGATTTTGGAATGCAGGCACACTTACTGACGCTCGTCACTTGCCTCATTTCTCAGCCTGAAGGCGGCATTTTACTCCAGTGGTCTTATGACAAAGTTTCTGACTATAAGGTGTGCAGCGTAAGTAAATCAGTATATTTGAACACACGCGAACATATCAGGGTCTATGGTGAGGTATCACAGTTATTTGCCTCGATCAGTTTTCATAAAGAGTGTCCATTCGCTCTATTCTTATTTAGTTTTGACACAGACGTGGTTATAGAGGTCTCCCTCTCGTCGTGTGATTCTATAGGGATATACCTTATTACAGGAGACTCCATAGTGCACCTAAAGTACACGGATGATATACTTCTGTTAGGTGAAGAAATCGACGATATTCAGACTCTTCTGGACGCCTCGAGTAGCAATTTTTCAGGATATTTAAAATATGTTTCTCACCATCAGATGCGAATTGCTGCTTCAGGGCTAGTCTGTATGGGTGCTTCATCGAACTATAAGTGAAGTTCTTAAATGAGTTGACCACTCCACTTGTGAAGTCGGACCGGCCCAGGTGGATCAGCGATCAACGAAATTTCTGTACAGATACAAAAACTCGATTGCATTTTTCGAACTTACACTTTTATGCCACGCGTGTTATTCAGTCCGCTATTATACGTATAATGCACGGCAATTCATTCATTTATACTGAGTAGCTTTGAAACATCACCATTAAACTTGGAGGAAATTAGAAGGCTTCAGTTTTTCAACCACCGTTGCCTTCGTAGCATAGACCATTTGTCACGGTCACACCACTTCAGTAACGCAGAAGTCATATGACGGGGTAACCAGCGCTATTCCCAGGTTCTCAAACCGTTCAAGTTTCACTCCCCTAAATTCATGTTAGCGCTTCTCTTTCGCTCGAACGCGTGTGCATGCTTTATCATGCAATATCTTAGCTTCCTCCCAGACATCGATTGAAAATACATCAGTAGAACAATCTTACTGAGACCATCTAAGGTCTTCTGATTTATTTGTGATTAAACCTCATGACCTACAGCAAGAATTCGTTATCTCGATATGAAGATGGAGAGAAAAGACTAGTCTGGAGATAGACTAATCAAAATGTATTTCACGTCTACAGTCAGACAGACGGACTGTGAATCAGCTAATCAATAGAATTATTTTAAACGGTAAACTATCTATATATTAGATACATTTTCCTTTATTCTTGTCTTCCATCTTTCAACCGCAATTCACGTTTCTAGACGTCTAGTCCATCATGTCTTCCCCACTAATTAGTCGGGTCGGGAATCAACTAGGAATTTGTTGAATGTCGGGGGCTGACAGTCGATATCCGTGCATCGTTAGCGGCGGTAGCAGTTTTCGAATCATAACATATCTTTAGAGGGAAAACACTATTGCTGTACCGATCCATATATGTGGCAACACCTATTTCGTATATTTCTTTGCCTCCTTCAGCCACCACATTGTGATCAACTTAGAATCCCCTGATGACGCCGTTGGCATACATAACACTAAAACCACCTCTCATTCGCTAGTTTATTTTTGATAAGCTAAACATCATAGGTGTTAGTTTGCTCTAAAGTACGATTATGTCATTTGTGGCTTAAAAGTAGATTACCAATTTTTTAGTTATATGTCTCTTTGCGACTTAGGCCACAGTAATAAAATTACTGGATTTCCAATGAGGTTGAAACCAAGTTCTCTACATTGGTGCTAAAATTTCGTACGCTAATTTATGCTTGTATTTATATCTTGTTTACCAACGAAGGTATGTTGCCTTGATTATTAGCGTACTTAAAGAAATTTCGATGTATACAATAAAGCTTTTTGTGTAATCTTGTTCAATTTTCCTAGCAAATAACAAGAATTGTGTCATTTTCTGCGTTATTGAACTGAATCCGTTTAGGGCTATTATCCTATTTGGCTCAAATTAATAACCTTTTTAATTTTGTGTTATTGCTTGTATTATACCGTCGTTGATTGGACCGAATTGATCTGTCTCCATTAGCATATGGGCTCCTGCACGGATGCCTCGATATTACCTGTGTTCTTAATTACATAGTAATGATGGATAGTGGCTAGCAGTGGAATTCAAGATGCGCATTTCATCCCACTTACGACTGGTCAGCTGGATGTACCTGCCTCTCAGCGAGTGGTGTTGTTCCATAGGGATTCGGACTTGGGACCGATCGCTTCGAACGCGAGAGCGTTATCCACTACACCACCAAGCCATGATAGCCACTTCTTGTGCGACGAGTATAGTTTTAGTATAATTGCTTATATTACACCGTCGCTGATTGGACCAAAATGGATAACGCTCTGGAGTTTAAAACGATTGCTCCCGAGTCGGAATCCTGGTGGGACAACATCACTCACTGGGCGTCAGGTATATCTAGCTGGAGAGTCCCAAATAGGATGAAATGCGCATTTTGGATTCCACTGCTAGCCACTATCCATCATCACTACTTTTTAATTTTTGTCTACTCAATACCTGTATTTTATGAAACCAAGTAGCTTAAATTTTCTTTTTACCGAATGCATTCTTTTTATCTCTCTGCCAAGGTTCATCCTACACTAATTAATTGGTATAAAGATGCAGATTATCCACCTTTGAGTTTTCATCCCTGTGCTCTGCCTATGCTCTGCCCTCCAGTCCCATGGATTAATCTAAATGATGCTGGTTACCTGATATCGAGAAGTAATTGAGCATATTACCGTTATATAATCAAACTTTCTATTCATTGCTGGTTGTTTGTTTTGTATTCTAGTCACAGTATCATAAATCACATCTACACAAAGTGCAGATGTTTGTCTGACTTTTATGCATCTTATACCAGATAATCTATATGGATATTTTCTGTTTTTTTTCCTTGTGTGCATGTCAGGTATTTGAATTTAACTGTACTAACCCTCTTTCTCTTGAAGTTACTTTAAAAAGGCTATCTACGTTATAAAAGCCAAGAAGCGTATCTCTGTCAGCACAATTTACATCCACCTATTATTGTTGTTATTACTATTACTATTTGTCCTTTCGGTTCCCAGTGGAACATAGGGCTTCAGTAACAGGTCGACATTTCACTCTGTTCTCTGCAGTCTTTTGAACCTGGCTCCACCGCTGTCCACAACCTTTCATTTCTTCTTCACACCATCTCCTCCATGTGACCATCAGCTCCGACGACCAACTCGTCATTTCCCCTTTGGGTTCCACTCGACGACCTGGCCTAACGTGTGACGTCCACAGTCGGCCTTCTCAGTGTATGCCCAATCTACCTCCACTTTCTTCTGCATATTTGTTGGGTAATAGGTTATTGGCTGGTTCGTTGCCAGAGTTCCTTATTGCTTATTCTTTCTGGCCATCTGGTCTTCAGTATCGAATGAGCGTAGGCGGCAGCTATTGATGAGTGTTTGTAGTTTGTTGGAAATACTTTTCGTAACGCGTCAAATCTCTGAACCATCACATAGAAGCACTGACTGGATGTTGGTATTGAAACTCTGGATCTTGTTCTTTATGCTGAGTGGAGTGCAGTTCAGTAGATCTCCATACTGATTTCAGGTTAATGAAGGTCTATCTCGCTCTCTCTCCGATCCTGGCTTCGACGTCCTCATCTGTGCCACCGACTGTAGTTGAAACGATGCTGCCTGACCTAGATAGATGAAAGATACTACTTCCTTTAGATTTCTCCCGTTGATGGTGATTGAAGCTTGTTGTTGTTGGTTGGGTATCTTCATCACCTCTGTCCTCACTACGTTCACTTGAAGTCCCATCTTCTCTGCCTCTTCTTTCGACTTGTTAGTTTTCACCTGTAGATCTTCGATTTTGTGCGACAAGACATTGATCATCATCCGCAGGGAAGTCCAAATCTTGTGGGATCTTCTCATCGGTCCAGCGAGCGTATGCCCGTCCTATCGCTCCTCACAGTTTGTTGCATGATACAGTCCAGTGCAGTCGACCACAATCAGAAAGATGATCGGTGATAGTAGGCGGCAACTTTGTCTTACTCCTGTCTTCACTTCAAAGGCATAGCTGAGCTTTCCATTGTGAATCACTTGACATGTAGCCTCATCATTTAGCATATAGCTGTTGAATGAGTTTGATAAAGGTTTATAGCACTGAGACCGTAGTTTTGAAGCAGTTGCCAGATTACTTCTCGGTCGACATTGTTGAAGGCCTTTTCAGAGTAGATGAAGTTGAGGAAGAGGCTTAATATTTTGCTTGGGGTGATAAGTTTCACATATATGTTAAGCAGTATCGTTAAGTTGTGAGGAAAAAATTGTAAACAGTCACTAATTTATCGTGATCTAAATGATTCGTAAAGTAAGTCTCTCTTAAGTGAATAAATTCTTTACTTTCATTTGTCATACGCGCATACTTTCTGTTACGAATCACTGGGAGATAAATTTATTAAGTTGTGAAGCGAGGTTAGAAACATATTCATGCGGGGGTTAACTTCTAATAAAATTATGGTTAACCACTAATTTATACCTTGTAGCTCCATATTTCTTTTGTTAATTAAGCTATTTCATGTCAGTATCACCGACTGAAAATTCTCATCTAAACTAAGAAATGCCATGCTGATGATTGTATTTACCTCCAAATTATAATGTGCACATTTTATGCACTGGACAATTAGCCTCACTTATTGAGTGAGAACTAGGTATACTACATGACTGCCTAAATTTCGATAGACTAAAAGTCAACTATACAAGCTAGTGTACGACAACTCTACAAACTATGTTCATACTACATTTGACTTAATACTATTTTACCCTTCAAGCTAGTAGCTTCTAGGGGGTAGATTAGTTCGAAGGATATCGTAAATGGAAATCATTTGAAGGTAAACTCAAATTCAAAAAATTGTAGTGATATTACAAAGGTCACCATCAGCTCTTTCCAGAATGGTGGACACAAGGTAGATATCACTAGATAAACAAGTGGTTGTCAATTAACTACTGGAATTCGCTGTTCAGAGTATAACATAGCTTTCTTCTGGCCTTGCATCCACTAACTTTTCGACACAAGCATTCTCAGCTGAAAAGTATCTCCTTCCATCTCCTTAGTATATATGTCACATGTTTTACGAATTTAACTTCTTTAAAAAACTGTTTTGTGGTTATTCTGTTTTACTTACTTTCTTTTCATTGTTACGAAATTGATAATCGCTTACAGCTTATTGTTCAACTTCTACTTCAATTTTGTCAGCCAGTTATTTATTACAAGAGCGATACAATTTGTATTTACTGTTTGGAGTTTATTCTTCGAATCGTGCCTTTCTGATTGCTGTATTCCTACTGCTTTCCCCTTTTCAGATTATGCAACACGTCTGATAAGATGTAACAGTATTTCTTTAACAAACCCAGCGTACTCAGATGACTTAGATTTTGACTGTAAACGAATTCCATCTGTATTAGATGCTCTCAATTGTTTGGCCTCCTGTCCATGGCAGATCAATAACAATGTACGTTGAAAGATTCACTACCTTTATATGATACAATTTATATGTTCGGAAGGCAGTTTATGTCAATGTTCTAATCCGGTTATTAAAGTGTAGCGTATGCTCGGCATAATAAAAGTTATTGAACTTTTAATGAGTGGACACTGGTGCCTCAAGCCGAAACTAATGCTGCACTAATATCACAACAAAGTTCGACATTTCATGCTTCTGAAAATCAGCGTAACAAGCAATTTGAGACATGGCATAATTGTGTTTGCTTTTTTTACTCATGGTGAAGTGGGTATTTTCCACTGGGAATGATACAATATGAAAAAAGGACATAATGGGCATCATGGTATTGAAGTTGAGCATCTAACTCTATCAACTTATCCTTCTCAATGATAATCTCCTAAAGTACCCGATAGTCCTCTCTAGTGTCCATAATAAATTTAAACGACAAAAGAAGTTACCCGATATCGCCTTCTCAATCATCTTGGTTTCCAACTATCCAACACTGCTCACAATTATTGCGTACTCTTTCTTACTGGATATTTAGACCACCTATGCTCCCCATTATGTCCGATACTAAATATGGTGAGTTTTCGTGGGCCTGTCGCTTCAAACAAAGATGTTTTCCATCTGTGATTCTTTTTAAGCTGTCATTGGAAATCACAGCGTTTATCGCCGTTTTCTTGTAGTACGCTCAAGATGATACCGTCTCCAACTATCTGAGTATTTCTTTCTTTGACATTTTCATCATCAAACTGAACTAAAAACTGTCTTTCAGTTTCACTTCATATCCTTCTAATAAGAGCAACCTCTCATTCGTTTGTGAATTAGTACGTTATCGAAACTCACGTACGTGCTTAATAAGGAATAGTAGTATTCTATCAAATCCACTAAATTATTGGTATCAAATGACTTCTATCTGGCTACAATGGGGGGTTGAAGTCGCGGATTGTCAGGTAAAACAGTGACTCTAAACCTGAATTTGATGTCCAGGGGAATATGGTTCTATAAAGAATACTTAAGTGCTTTCATATATATCTTGTTTTCCCTACTTAATTTTTCAAATCCACTGGATGCTATTGTAGTGGGCGTTGCCGACAAAAATGGACGTAAGTAGTATATGTTGAGAGGACGGTAGGAATCATAGGGAATTACCAGCAGTGGGTAAGGATTCTGCCCAGAGAAACGCAAGAGACAATCTGGGCGTATTAAGAGCAAATCAAAATAGAAGCAGAAGAGAAAATGAAGCATACTATGCAAATGACTGTCTTAGTACAAGGTGTACTAGATATACAAGATGTCAATAATTAAAAAATCCTTCCTTCGTCTCTGTCTTTTCGTTTCCTTCACTATGACTACACTTGTATATTCAGGATTTTGCATAAAACTAAGAAGATTTCACTGAAACTCATCCTTCAGTTTATCTGGACTGCACTTAACTGTTGCGCCGGTAGGGAATACGAAAAGACCTCAGTGTGCGACACAATCTTTTTGAGGCTTTTATACACCCTTTGGTCGATGTCAGTCTTCGATGAATAACAACTTGAAAAGATAACAGTCAACACAGGTCTAGTTCAGGGATGAACTTCCGACTCTAAGTCTTAATATGATATTTTTGCTTGTGAGGTCATAGGGAATCTCTACTGCGATTTAAGATTAGAATTGTACGAGTCATAATCATTCAATAGGGAATTCAAGAAATAAGATGAATTCATACTGTACTCTTATTATTTTTTTTTGCTCTTTTGAGTTTAGTTACTATTTTTTATATATTAGGATAAAGATTTTTTGAAAAACGGCTGCAGTGATTCACTCATAAAATTCGTGTTATCGTAAATAGTCCTGTGAACTAGGGGTGTATTACTTCACAGATTCATGTAAACTATACTTTTACTTTTTAGGAGTCCGCTGTTAATTTATTTTATTAAAAGTGAATGACTCCACTTTTTGTTAACTAAAAATGACATTTTACTAAATGATTTTCAGATTTTAGACTATCTTATTCAAGTTGCACGTTCAGGTGGTAGTGAAAAACTCAGCATACCTGAGTGGAAAATTAAGCCTAAACGTGTTGAGTTAAAAAGGTGAGTTGCAATATGGTCACTAAATGATAACATTAATTACGTAACCATTTTTAGTTGCATTTCTAAACTAACAAGAATGTTAGACTGACCGATGCAAAGTCTGCGATCCGTTAGTCAAATGCTTTAATCAGCCAACTACAGTTCTGCTCAGTCACTGCCATGTTTATACCTGTAACCTTCTTCATAATCTCTGTTTTATAACGAAAAGCGAAAGTTTATACCTTTCATTGTCCAAAAAGAAAATTTCATTTTTACGTTCACTTGGTTTTCAAAATATCAAAATATTGATGTCAGTAGTAATTTGTTGCCTTAGTTTATTTTACATCTGAGGATGAGGATGGACACCAAATGTATTATTAAAACTGAAATTCCCATTTCTTTCAGAGTAACTTACTAATTGTTACTGCTGAGGTACGTTAATTAGTTTGACGATAACGTAATCATCGTTAGTTAAGATGACTTTGTATTAAACTCCTATATAGTGGTTTTAATGTCCATTTCACGAATCAGTATACTCAAGTGAGTCTGATTTATGCTATTGTAATGGGTATTTACAGTAACTAGTATCAGTTTCTTCCTCAGAGTCTCACAATTAGCTTATTGTTAGGATAAATGCTGCTGATTCTTTTGCTGAACCCATAGCGTTTATCAGTCCATATATTTTAAGAACAATCAAATCTGTTCTCATTGCATTATGCAACTGCATCTTCTCATAGTTTCGCCATCTTCAGGAAGTAGGAAATGCTGTTAGCAGAATAGTGACCTCAGTCTATGAAAGTTGTTTTCAGTTTAACTAGTTTATGGCTAAGGGTATTTTTGTAACAACTTTAAGCTGCACCAACTGAGTGATATTTTCTTTTATTTATATAACTATGAAAAATGATCAGTTTGGTGGACTTTTATTTTATGAACAATATTCCGTAATATATAAATTTATGGTTAAATAGTTATCTATTAAAGCGCGGTTGTTGTGTTATTTACTAGTATTTAACCCTAAAGGATCATTAACAAAATTGTTATAAAGACTGAAAATATATCTACAGTTATATAAGCATAACGAATGAAGCTTGCGACTCATTGACTTACGAGTTCTACTTTCAAGCAAGCGGTTTTGAGTTCACATACCTCTCTGACTACTTTGATCAAGGGAACCGAATAGTGTCATATACATACAAAAGATGTGGCTAAGGCATAAACACATGTACTTGACTGAGTCATACTAAGTCTGAATACAGCCAGCCTACATGAGGTATATCAACAATCCAACCGTGCTTATATCAGACCAACAGATGACAGTTTCAACTTGACTGTGAATTGGTATAATCATAATGCTTTTTCTTTGAATTTAGTGACATGACTGCAAAGGAACGTCAGCTCTCATACAAAAAATATCGTGAGGCTCGCCAGGATTATGGTGAATTTTGTTCGCTTTGGAGCACGGAATTATACAGGTTATCTATAGCTAATCAGGTATACCCTTTTGCGTTTTGATTCTTGTTTTTGTTTGTTTCTAGTTGGTGGTTTCTATTCACTTTTGTTAACGATCTAAAGAACTCATCAGTACAGTTTCCGTTAAAACCTTTGTTGAGTTTGCAAACACCTTTACGAGGTTCTTTCTATGTCTTGATTTCGCACTGATATATTTCTGGATAAATAAAATCTAGCATCTGTGTTCCAGTTTACTCGGAATTTATCACAATGATCTCACGTTTAAAAAAATACTTAGTTATAGCAGTGATGCAACAACTCTTTTTCAAACGAACTTCAATTTCCTGCATCCTAATGTGTAGGTTAAACGAAGTTTATCAAAAAAATTGTAAAACAAGGTAATAAAAGGTTAATTTTAAAGACAGTTATCACAAATATTCTCTTATATGTAGGTTGCATTAAAAAGAGCCAAATTCCTAAGAATCTCGTACATCATATTTTGAATAAATACAGAAAAGTGTCGACTTCACGGTTTAAAATATTAATTGTTAGTCAAACTGGATATGATTTTTTTAATTATTTTTCCCTTGGGTTCCTAGTGGAACATAGGGCTTCAGTAGCACGCCTTCATTGCACTCTGTTCTCTGCAGTCTTTTGAACCTGGCGCCACGACTGCCCACAACCTTTCATTTCTTCCTCACATTATCTCCTCCATATCACCCTCGTACCCCCAACTTTAGATGTGATTAGCTGAGAAATATCAAAAGATTGTAATAATTAACGTTGGACAACTTTTTTCTATACTTATTATCTTCTTGTTTCTTAATAAATAAAAATTTCAGTCACTGATAGGTTACAAACCTAGCAGGAGGTGAAGATCTGGTGAATACCATACATATACAAGGAGTTGTGGAATCTAATTTGTTTCTTCAGGTGTTTTTCTCAAGCTTCACTTACGCATCTAATGATTGTAGAGTCTAGGATCTTAGATACGCTGTTTGTCAGACTGACTCCTCTGTCATTGTTATAATAAAATTTCCCACTCCTTCCTGAAGACAGACAATGAGTGATTGAGACCAGTCACAGACAATCATATCTGGTCCCCATACGTCAGCTAACACTTTAGCTAATCCAGCCAGTAATCCTTGATCATCAGCTTTAAATACCCCTGGTGTAAGCCCATCGTAACTTGCCATCATCACTACGTTTCACGTTAATTACAGCCCTGGCTACCTAATCTCCCCTGCGACCAAATCATTGTCTCACCCTTATCCGTTATTGTGTCACTACCCATTGACCCTTTTGCCTCATTTCCCGTGATAAGTCCAAATAAGTGTATGCTGATATCTTTCCTTGCTGTATTCTCTACCTGTTTAGCCTCTTTCGCGCTCAATACCTCTCACAGTCCCTGCGTAGACACGTTGGTCTACGTTTAAACTGCTTCCATTCCTTATTGTTCTCGGAGCCTGCAGGAATTCGTTTACGCGAATTCATTAATTCGAAAGGAGCTAATAAAATCTACTCCTCCTTTCTAACCTTCTTCTGAGAGTCACTTCTGGTCTTTCACGCTGTTTCTACATCAGACTGAAGACGGCGCCATGCTTCTTCAGGATGAGTGATATTGTCCCATTCCGGTAAATTGTTTGACTAGTTTCTCATTGAAAGTAGCCTATGTACTCATATAACCGGCCTGTACTCCGAGTTATCTTACTGCTCTGGTTTTTACACGTACATTTAGGCACTGAAATGCTCGTTCTCGAAACATCATGTGTATACTGTCCAAACTAGTACTTCAGAAGAAATGATAGTCTTCAAACGAATCCTTTCCGAAAATAACTGATGGTGGCGTGGTATGCTTTTTTCAACCTTGAGTTGAGGTCTGTGGACACCATGTCAATCACTGTCTCTCTTAATGTTTGAAATTTTAGCTGAATGCAAACATTTGACTGTCTGAGGATAGTTGTAACAGGTGACTACTGCTGTCTATTCGACTGTGATTCTAAAAGTGCTAATAAGGGGACTTAGTCTCCCCACTTATCCATTGAAATCATCTACAACAACCGCCTCTGAAAGTTAGGCTTTAAGTAGGAGGCTAGACAGTTCTCTGTAAAGCTCATCTTTCACTTCAGCCAAATCGCAGTTAGCGGATGAATATTCAAATATTACAAACCGGAAACGGTGAGTAATAACATTTTCTCTAGTCCTGACTACACTAATTAGTTGAATAGTGCACATGCAACTGTCTACTAGAATCCAGTCGATCAGTCAATTTCACTCCTTTGGACTTATTGCTGAACCTACGCCTGCTAGACCGCGAAAACCAGCTACTCATTCATTAGAAATCCGAAGGGTGAATTCCACAGATTCACAGAATTGGCTGAGTGAGGTTAGGTGGAAAAAACTAACAGGCAAAGATTTGAAAGGTTGAAGGAAATTGAGTGCTGATGGAGTTGTGAAGGTGCTTGGCATTTCCCATTTCCCCACATCGTGTAAGGTACCTGAAAAAGAAATTGTATTACTTAATAGTGGTACGTCACCACACAGTTCAAGGGACGTATGCTTGATGCCAGGACATGTGACCCTTTTGGAGGCTTAAAATATAACTATGAACAATCTAAATCAAGCTAGGAAATCCACACTGCCCCCTTCAGATAGCAGCAGAGCAGGGAGGTGTGTGCTATTTTTGGATGTGACATTTTCCACTTCCTCTCATAAAGAAGGCAGCATAAACGTGAACCACTAGTTATCCGTGAGAAATTATTTATTTTTATTAGTCCCTTGGGTTCCTAGTGGGACATAGGGCTTCAGTAGCACGTCTCCAGTGACCTCTGTTCTCTGAGATCTTTTGAACCTGGTTCCACGACAGCCCAGAAGCTCTCATTTCCTCCTCGCACGACCTTCTCCATGTCACCCTCGAACGTCCAACTCGTCGCTTCCCATGGGGATTCCACTCGAGCAACTGGCCTGACGCGTGATGTCCTCAGTCGGCCTTCTCAGTGCATGGCCAATCCATCTCCACTTCCTCCTGCATATTTGTTGCGTGATAGGTTCTTGGTTGGTTCGTTCCCAGAGTTCCTTGTTGCTTATTCTTTCTGGCCATCTGATCTTCAGTAGCGAGCGTAAGCAGTTATTGATGAATGTCTGTAGTTTATTGGAAATCCCTTTCGTGACGCGCCAAGTCTCTGAACCATACAGAAGCACTGGCTTGACGTTGGTGTTGAAAATCCGTATCTTGTTCCGCATGCTGAGTGCAGAAGATCTCCACACTGGTTTCAGGCTAATGAATGCCTGTCTTGCTTTTCCGATTCTGACTTTGACGTCCTCGTCCGTCCCGCCTGTAGTTGAAACAGTGCTTCCTACATAAGTGAAGGAGGTTACTTCCTTTAAGTTTCTCCCGTTGACGGTGATTGGAGTTTGTTATTGTTGGTGGTGGTGAGGTATCTTCATCACCTCTGTCTTCTGTATATTCACTTGAAGTCCCGTCTTCGCTGCCTCTTCTATCAACTTGTTAGTTTTTGCCTGCAGATCTTCAAGTTTATGTGACATCAGGCACAAGTCATCGGCGAAATCCAAATCTTCTAGGTTCTTTTCCGCAGTCCAGTGTATCCCCCTCTTCTCACAGCTCCCCACTGTTTGCTGCATGATCCAGTCCACCACAATAAGGAATATCATGGGGGATAGTAGGCAACCTTGTTTCACTCCTGTCTTCACTTCAAAGGCATCACTGAGCTTCCCATTGTGAATTACTTGGCTGGCATGTGGCATCTTCATATAGTTGTTGAATGAGGCGGATAAAGGTTTGCGGTACTCCGTAGTATTGAAGCAGCTTCCAAATTACTTGTCGGTCGACGCTGTCAAAGGCCTTCTCAAAGTCGATGAAGTTGAGGTAGAGAGCTGATTGCCATCCTATGCTCTGTTCTATGATGATGCGAAGCGTTGCAATTTGGTCTGCACATGATTTGTACTTCCTGAAGCCTGCCTGTTCCGGTCGTAGTTTTGAATCCAGTGCATCTTTGAGCCTCTTCAGGATGATGCGGCTTAATATTTTACTTGGGGTGGACAGGAGAGTGATTCCGCGCCAGTTCTTGCAAACACTGTGGTCTCCCTTCTTCGGCAGTTTGACAAGGTAACCCTTCTTCCAATCATTGGCCAGCTACCTTCTCTTCCTTCCACACCTTCTGCAATAGTGGTGTGAGCATGTCCGCTGTTGTCTCTGCGTCTGTTCTCAGTGCTTCTGGCGGGATCCCATCTGGTCCTGCTGCTTTCCCGCATTTCAGTAGCTTTATGGCGTTCAGGACTTCCATTTTCGTTGGAGGATTTATGTTCACTTGTAGTTCAGCGGCTGCAGGTGGTATTTCTGGACGAAGTGCAGGTGGTGGTCGATTCAAGAGCTTTTTAAAGTGGTCGGCCCATTGTTTCCTTCGTTTCTCTTCTTTCGTAATTAAATTTCCTTCTTCATCTTTTATTGGTTTCATCTGTGTTGATCTCTTCCCTGATAGCAACCTGGTTATTTGATACAATGTCGTCAGGTCTCTCTTATCTGCAGCCTGTTCTACTTCACTTGCCAGTGTTTCGTAGAAGTGTCTTTTGTCTTTGCGTGCACTCTCCTTTACTTCTTTGTTCAGTGTTTTATACATTGTGCTCAGTTCCTCTTGTCGTTGAGCGTCCTTGCACTGGTTTATCTTCTGCTTCACCATCCTCCTCTCCTCTATCAGCTTCCAGGTATCCGTCGAGATCCATTCCTTATCTTCTTTCTTCTTCCTTCCTAATACTGTTGTGCAGGTTTTTTTCCACATAGCTTTCAAAGACTTCCAGTGTTCTTCCACACAGGTTTCTTCAGGCATGTTCCTCGATATCTCCCATTTTGTCTTGATGGCTGCCTTGAAGATCTCCTTTGTAGTTTCATCCTTCAGTTTCCGAGTGTTGTACTTGAATTGAGGTCTATCACCAGCTTCCTTGAAGGCTTTTAACTTGATTTGGAAGGTTCCTTGCACTAGATAGTGGTCTGAACCTACATCTGCTCCTCTTCTTGACCTTGTGTTAAGTAGACTGCGTCTCCATTTTCTCGAGATTGAGATAAAGTCGATTTGATTTTTAGTGTGTCCATCTGGTGAAATCCATGTCGCTTTGTGGATATCTTTGTGCCTGAACACACCGCCTCCAATTACCAAATCGTTGAATGCGCAGAATTCTGCAAAAAATTCTCCATTCTCATTCATTTCACCTAGCGCCTCTCGACCCATGGTTAGTTCTCTTCCTGTGTTGTCCCCTCCCAGTTTGGCATTCATGTCACCCATTAGAATTTTGATATCGCCAACTGACGTCTTGTCCAGTGTTGATTGAAGTTGTCTGTAGAATTCCTCCTTTTTCTCTTACTCTGCATTATTTGTAGGTGCATAACATTGTATGATTGTGACCTTCCTTCCTTTTGAGTTGAATCTTGCTGTCATGATCCTGGAGGAGATTGGTTCCCACTATATGAGAGCCCTCGATGCTCTTGAGGACATCATGATAGCCACTCGATAACTCAGTGTGCTCGTGGTTGTCGTCTGGGTGACAATATCGGAGTAGATTATTGATTCTCCAGTTGACAGTTTGGAGAGTCCACTCCCATTCCATCTGCTTTCGCAAATCCCAAGCACTTCGATGTGATACCTTCTCATCTCCTTTGCAATCTGGGCTGCCTTACTGGGTTCAAACATCGTGCGGACATTCCATGTCCCCACATTTACTTTCGCTTTCATCGAGAGTGAGAAGACACATCGGCCAATTGGCTTCCCGAAGGCTTTCACCAACTGGCGTCATTTCGCCTCTCCGATTCCAGCGGGGAATAAGTTTGTTTTCATTTTTTATATTTTGTTTGTGCTTTGAAGTTTCTTTAGCGGTTAGATTTGTTTTACGGGGTAGGGTTGCTAGCCCTATGCCCAACCTTCTCTCTTTACCCGGGCTTAGGACTGGCTAGTAACTAGTGAACTAGTTAACTAGGCGAGGTTATCCGTGAGAAATATTTTATTGTTATCACACCGCATCAAGCCAGCAGTACAAATTCATCCTCTAACCTTCATCTTAGCATATCTGTTCACACTGTGATAGACGTGGTATCGTAGGACCCCAAGGAAGAAATGTTCCCACCAGCATAGTTAGTCATTGTGATGTGCAAACCCAACCAGTGCTTCAAAGTAACAGTTGTTGATCGGGAAAACGTTTTAGGATACATCATCTATCTTATTTGTTTCTCTGGTATCACAGTTTCCGGTGATTTGTATTTTAGTACACTCACCCTAATCTTTCGCAAAAGTGGTAATTTTCATACTTATCGGGGAATATGAAATTTCCAATTATATACAGCAAATTGGTTATTCATCAGGAGAAATGTACTTAATTAACTCCTAATATAGGGATACATGGAGTATGAGATGGAATATTTCTTGGTGTTACGGTGCGGAGTTGTGAAAATGAACTACAGTAATTAACAGTTGATAGTGGAGGGTTGAGACGGTTCAACCCGACTGATTTTCTCTGAGGGAGGTCAGAAGACTAATAATCATTTGAGTTTATAGTGTCTCGAACTGAAAAAGTTTATTGGTGGAAACGGACCCTATTTATAGAGTTTACAGTAACCTTGAAAAACAAAGAGTAATTAGTACATTTAAATAGGTAAGAACCAATCAGAACCCTAGCAGGTTATATGAAATGTGACCCATGTGCGAGGAAAAGAACGCAAAGAAAACGGTTCAAATATAAGCAGATTTTAAGTATGGAATATAAGGGATATAGACATCCCTAACGCTTGAGAACTTCAGATTCCATAGTTTATCCACTGAAACTAAATCCTAGAAATATCTTTGTTACATTCTACCAAACTATGAAATGAGTAATTAATGAATATTTTTTTCTAGTTGATATTCACCATGGACTAAACATCAGTTGGAGGAACATTGGAAACGTGGGAGCCTTGGACAGCTGTTTCGTCCTAGTATGAGACTTCAGCACTGCGCACCTACGACCCCGCCAGGGGCAAACCTCATGGCCGTAAGGACAAGTACTCAACGATGACATTGGGTGGCGGTCGCGCTATGTCGTGAACTGACAGAAGCTGGAAATATAGACCATTGGATTCCGATGCAGTGGCTGAGCGGTAGCGTGCTGGCCACGGAACCTGAAGGTCACGGGTTCGACCCTTGGTGGGGTCGTGGGTGCACACTCCTGAAGAGTCTCACGCTTGGACGAAACAGCTGTCCAGTCCTCCCACGTTTCCAATGTTCCTCCAACTGATGTCAGTCCATAATGAATACCAGCTGGAAAAATCTCTGAATCCCCACAAACCCCCTAATTCAATCAATGAATAGCCGTTAGTTGTTGGTTGGTTCTCATTTGGAAAGTAAGCCACCTTTATACATTTCTGTGTGAATCTTGGTGGAAAAGTAGCTGAGAACGAAACTGTTTTAAAGTATTCTGTGGTTATGCTAATCAGAATATTGTTTTAGAAAATGTGCCCATGACGAATTTTCTTACATCTAAACGAAATCCCATGTTTCTGGTTTATCCCTTCAATAAAGCCAAATAATATAGATTGACGTAGTGTGAATATATTTACTTTCTATTCATACTAAGCGTTCTTCGCTCATTCGTTCATTTTTGTATGCATTATTCGGACTACTATTCGTTTTACTTTTGCTTTTAGTATCGCGACAAAACTATATGGTTTCCTCATAGCATGGATTTTCGTGGTCGGGTGTATCCTTGTCCACCACATTTCAATCACACTGGTTAGTAATGTGATATTCAATGGATTTTTGTCGATATCCATAATATATAGCTATTCAAAATGTGTGTATACTTCAACCTGACAAGTAAAGTGTTTCTCTATGATATATTAACGAAGCGAAGGGAAACAGTGGTGAAATTTAGTTGCTATGAGACTGTATATCCAGAGTCATTGATAGTTTGTAAGAAAAAGTTATTTTCATGTAAGCTATGTGGTCGTCAACAAGTATCTCTTTTCAAACATCAGGATTCGGAGTTCCAGAAAGTTATTCTCCAGTATAGTTATCACCTAGTTCCAGGGTTATGAATCTACTCACTTGATGCACTTCTAGTACCACCATTCACCCTGTGATTGATATTTTGAATAACATGGATTAGTTGTTTAATAGCTTGACGTCGTGTTACTGGTGGAATGAGATATTCATTTCTCTTCCAGTAGCTTAGAAGTGAGTTAACGAGGGTATAACAAGCTTTAGTAGTCTAATGCTACAGTCTGTAGTGCTATAGTAGTTGGATCCAACTTAAGTAAACAACGTAAAAGAAGGCTGATACACTTCATACATTTCACTGGATTACCTACCAACTTAAGATCTAAAACAATCCAGTTCGATTTCCAGAATCGTATAAAAGAAGCTATCTTGTACTTCTTTATTTCTAATGACTGGTTCTTTGATATTGAGTTTCAGTGACACAATTCATATCTGAAAGTACAACATGTCGATGATTAACACTGTAGTAGCCTTTTAGTACTACAACCGATACAAAAAGTGACAAGTCAAATTTAATGCCCCTAAAAATTTGGAGTTCTTATTGAAATAAGATTGATACTATTAAGTCCTGAATATTTGCAAAATATCACCGTGGTTTCACTTGAAAACTGAAAATTTCAGATCAGAAATTATGATCAGTTTATTTCCGTTAATGTGAGAAAACTTCATGATATTCACTGCAAGCGCTCATGTACGTTGCAACAATATACGTTCGCCTTTCAGTTAAATACGTCAACTTTTCTGTGGATTAATTATACTAATGATGGATAGTGACTAGCAGTGGAATCCAGGATGTGCATTTCGTCCTATTTGGGACTCTGGACCGATCGGTCCGATCAACGACGATATAATACAAGCAATTATACTAAAACTATACTCGTCGCACAAGAAGTGGCTATCATGGCTTGGTGGTGTAGTGGATAACGCTCTCGCGTTCGAAACGATCGGTCCCAAGTCCGAATCCCTATGGAACAACACCACTCGCTGAGAGGCAGGTACATCCAGCTGACGAGTCGTAAGTGGGATGAAATGCGCACCTTGAATTCCACTGCTAGCCACTATCCATCATCACTATGTAATTAAGAACACAGGTAATATCGAGGCATCCGTGCAGGAGCCCATATGCTAATGGAGACAGATCAATTCGGTCCAATCAACGACGGTATAATACAAGCAATCATACTGACTTTTCTATGGATTGTCAAAAGAAGCCGTTTCTCAATCAAAACGTATTAAATGATCCATTTTTCTTTCGTAGTAATTCGCTACTGTTTACGCTCTAACACTATACAATCCATACATAAAGCTGTCTCTTCTGAAAGTTGGAAACCTTTATTGTTTGCACTAATTACACATTTTTAGGGATAATTAAGTAACCGTAACCTACGTGCTATCGAAGTGCTTTTATAATGATTAGTAAACTTTTATGTGAACAATGAACGACTAACGGTAATAACTTCAGTAATATAAGAGTAAAACTTGGACACTATGGTAGATTGTAATTCCATTTTAGTCTCTTTATTAGAATTATCACACAGTTAAGCAGTATTATTTACTTGGTATGAATATTGACAAATTATGCCCGAAACGTTTTCCAGTAAATAAAATTGTTTCAGTCTGTGACATCTCATAAACAGACTAAAATGGAAGGTGATAACTTCAGTGTATGCTAGTTTGTCTTTTCTATCTCTATTTTCAATTTCTGTCGATTTATTTTTAGCTACCCAACAGTTTTACACATATTACTGTGCACGTTATTATAAAACCACTCATTTAATCTTGCTATTTTGTTAAGGTACTTCAGTCCTAGACTAAGGATCACAGAATGAAGTAAAGTTAGACATAAATGCGAACATTTCAACCCACATTTTAAATTGCTCATGAACCTGTGTCATATTGATTGGTAAAGAAATCCCATATGGTGTTATTTTCACGTATTTTGATCCTCTTTTTTACTGCAACATCTTACTAACAAACAGACGCTGGTGCATCAGTCAAAGATAGGATGTCTAAAAGGGGATGTTAATATGAAGTGAGTTTGTAAAATGAAGTGAATGAACAGAAAACATGTTGGTGACAAATAGCAAAGTGCACTTCTAAAGAAAACTAGTACCAAATGCATCTCCTCTATAATGACTGATAATAAGTCATGATTTGTAATCGATGCCCATCAATTAACACCATCTTAATGAATGTGCTCAAGAAGCTTAGACTTGGCAGCATAGTTTAGACTAACGTTCAATAGTTCCTTAGACTGCTATCCTGTCTTGTTCTAGTCATCTTAAGGTTACCCATTGTATTGCTACTTTCTCTGTAGCGGTACATTAATGTGGATTTCTCTTTTGCGTCTGCCAACTTCAGTGATGGTACATCTTATAGGCTAGTTACTTTTATGATCCATACCTAGATGTAAGTAATTCTTCAAGACCATTTACGCTCATGTACCAACAATTCGTTCGTACCATGCACCTCAAATCATTATGTTCTATAATCATTTATTATATTTGTGCGCAATAAAGTCCGGCATGTTTTATATGCTACTGGTGAACAATCAGTTAACTCGGTGGTTTCGTAAGTAAAATTATTTCGTTGAATTAAATCAAGATCTTTCTATCGGTAAGATGATGCCCTCCTACCAGCGAGCCTACGTAAAAAGAACGGCGTTCGCGTAAACCTTTTTGATTTTAGCCTCAATTTACCATGTTGTTTACATCCGATATATTCGTAATTTGATGAAGCTTTCGTGAAAAGTTTGTCTCTTGCTTTGACTATCACGCACAGCTAATTGATGGGTTAGGAAATGTAATACCTCGTTAGGTTTGTAAAGATATGTCAAAATATGTTGTTACATTTCATGTACTGGGAAACGCGTAAATGGAACGTCCTTACACAAAGATCAACCTTACAGGTACGACAAATTGATTCAAAAAGGATTAAAATTCAGGATTTTACTTTCCAAATAATTACCGCGGTAATAAGTACTGAATTCGCTGTTTGGTATTTACTTATCAATATAATTAGCTTCTAAGCGTAACAGAAATGTTGACGATAATCTTTACATTTTCCATTCAGTGACTGCATTTTTTCAAAGTAAATTTGTGTATCTGAAAATACTTATTGTTACTTCTACGTATTTAGGCAGTGATGTGGCCCGGAGTCTTATCGTTTTCGCTAAAGGATTGCCTCTTGGTCCTAATGGCTTAGATTGGCTTAAAATCCATTTAGTCAACCTGACGGGTTTAAAAAAAAGGTAACAATTTGTTAAACAGGCAGAATACTATTGTACCCCTAGATTCTCTTATTTTCATTACTTTGTAATGAGCAGACAAACAGCAATTTGCTGATACAAATGTTTTTGAATTGTTTTCAGATACCTTATTCATCGCTTGTCCCTAACTGTCTGATTGATGGAGCTGTGATCAAATATATGTAAGCTAATGAAAAACGTCATCCATGCACAAGTTCAAAATGACCCTGTCTTTTACGGTTTGGGCAGGAAGTTTCTCCCTCAACTCCACATCGGACTTTATATCGCTGTAATGAGTTGTAGCTATTCACCTGACCGCGGTGTTAAATATGCGAAGTTTAACTTACGAGTGTCCGAATATTCAATGTCTAACTCTCATTGACTTACTAATGTATGTATAGTATTGAGTTGTAGACCAAAAAGCTCCCTTGTCGACTGGATATCATTCAACACCTGCTAGACTGTATGGATCTGTAAAACCCGAGAAGTATCTTCACACTTACAGATGCCTGTTCATAATCCCCATCTAGGCACCAATTTATTCCCCTTAGAATGAAGTGAAGGATGGATTCTACGAAAAGCTGTCGATTTTGCTATAGAAAGTCAAATGTTCAGATATTCTCATACTACCAGACGACTTCAACGCTCAAGTAGAGAAGCCAATCCAATCAGAAAGACATCTTGAAGGTATTTAAAGAATCCCACCAACGAACCGACAATGGTGGTCGTCTCTCACACTTTTGTTCTGAAAATCATCTGTTTCTGGCCGGCGCTAACTTTAGATATGAGGAGAGACACTGTCTCACACGGCGTCCGCGGACTTCCAACCAACGATGGACACAGATAGATCACATCGCTACAAGCTATCGTTGGAGAGGATTAGTGGTTTTTTCGCAGTACTTGTTTAGACTCCGATCACATGCCAGTACAGGCTCATGCATGTCTTCACTTTACTGGCCACGGGAAACAGAAGACAGTGAGGCCTATCTACGCTTCATTGGAAAGTGAGAATGCCAAATATGCATTAAGAGAGAGGTTAGCTGAGAATTTATTTGGGTTTGACGGCTATTCTCATCCTTAGGAAACCTCGTATAATATTATTTCTGCTGCAGGAACAGAAGTAAAGACAGTTGGTAACCTACACTCAAAGGTTAGCAAAAGTCAATGGATTTACTTAACTTCGGTCGGACTGACTGATGCGAGGAAACTCATTCCTTCAGCTGACTCTGATCAAAATGAGAATTGAAATCAGATGAAACATAGGCTGACTAACCGTATTTTTTGCAATGTACAGTGGTGGTTGGCTTAGGTAGAAGCTATGAAGATGATATCATCGTTAGATAATACAATACTCAGTGATTATCTGGGCTTATAAAGGACACTGGCGATTAGAAGATGATGGTTAGTGAAACCACTCCCAAAAAGGATTGCTTCATAATAACCTATCGGGAGAGGTGGTCAGAAAGTTGGGCGAAACACTTCTAAGCACAATTCATTTGGCCCACATCAACACTTCAGTTGCTTAGCATACAGTCCGAACCTGAATGTGACGTAGATGTCCGTCCCGCTTTTATTCTCGAAGTTGAGAAGGCTGTTTTACACCTTAAACGATACAGAGCAGCAGGACCTGGTGGTTTACCACCAGAAGCTTTTAAGTATGTAGGTAAAAATCTACTGTACACTAATAATTGTACTAGGTAGTCCGGTCAAACTAATCTTTATCGTTAATTCTCCCAGTCCAAAAGACGGGAACGAAGTCATATTGTGACAACCTTGGCAAGACTAGTTTAACTGGCATAGTGTTCAATATCGTGGGATGTATAGTTATCCCTAGCCAAACCGGAGCTCAAGGATAACAAATTTGCGGAAACTAGTCACGTTTCAAACATAGACGAGGGTGTCTAGTATGGCAACTTGAATCAGCGCACTTGTGTGCGGGATCCTTCGTTGGTTTCTGTATCTGCCTGTCCAATCCCTCAGGTACTGCAGTGACAGTGGTAAGGTTGAAAGCTTAAAGTAACTTCCGTTTTCGCTCAATAAGCAGTTCAGTTTATCGGGGAAACATGATACCGCTTATAAACAAGTTTGCATACCTATCACTAAAGTTAAGCATTAAATTTTTAGAAGGAATTTTCATCAAACAGATTGGTTAATTCTCAGCACACTGATTTGATGCAAATTAGTGCATGTTGGCACGTTAATTCATTACCATCTATATTTTCATTGGTCCACATTTTGACATCTACATACATACATCTTGACTTAACGAGTTATTAATTTGTCTTCGCTTATTAAACTAGAAATGCCATTACTTACTTGGCTGGTGTTTTTTTTTTCATTTTAGATGCACTCATATTGAGCGTTTGGAATATGCCAACTCTATAATGAGTGATATTATTGACTCTGCTGAAAAGCCATTTGATGTAAGTTCTATGATCTTTGAATCCTCTTTTTTCTTGCCTATACTGTATCAAAGATTTTAAAGGATTCTTTTGTTTTGCCAGTCGATAAAAATTGAAGAGCTTTGATGAAAAAACCAAACGAAAGCAATTTATGATATGGGACAATCTAATTTGCTGCTCATCACCTTAGGCTGTCGATTTAACAGTCAACAGTAAGAAAGGAGATGATTCAAAAATTATTACATTGAAATTTGTATAAATTGGACAATAAAGAAAAAGCGAAGAGTATATAATAAGATTCTCGAAGCTTTGATGAAAGTAAGGTACCAGTGCTGCGGCATCACTACCATTAATTTTGAACCGAATCATATAACTTCCAGCTGTAAATTTCGGTTGTCTTTCAGATTTGAATCACGAGGACTCTATATTGTTATATGACGGAGATTAGCAGTCGGACGATGTCTACTGGTGCCTCGCCTTAAACTAATCACCGTTATTTTCATTTACTATTACAGCTTAAATAGCCCTCGTAGGTAGGGCAGCAGCTGTACATGCCCAAAACTTGTCATATCATCCTTTGAATTTTTAAAGTCGTGTTAGCTGACTTAACTCTTCTGCATAACACTCTACATCCAACCTTCAGATTGCTTACACAAGCGTTTCTGGAACTTTCTGAAACGATCCCCTCTTAAAATCCTTCCTTTGCTTCCTTATTACAGGATAGAGTTTACATTTGTAGCTCACTTAACTTTTAAGTGTTATCGTGAATAGCGTACGTTAACAAAAGCTATTTGAAACTTTTATATTTATCCCATGATTTTTTCAACCTTCAACTACTACTACTAATGCCAACACTTTTCATGTAATTCGAGCGGTCAGCATATCTAGAACATTGGCATGCATCAGTCTTGAATTGAAATTTGCATCCCACAGGAGAAAATCTCTTTAGACCTACCGAAACCGTCGCTCAATGTGTCCAGAAGGGTGCATGCTGTCAGTGCCCTTACGTAACAGAACTACGTCATCTTACTATAAACCACCTGAAAAGTCTTTGAGTCTTTTATGCAATCAACAGGAGCTCATGCATGTACATGTACAAAATGAACAGAAATGTTAACGCAGCCCATTCGTTTCCTAGCGCCTACTATCGAGTTTGTTCCTACCAGCCTAAAATGTCATTCATTGGAACCTGTTCACTAGGAAGTGAAAGTCAGTTCTTGTTATATGCATAGTTTTGTGCTAAGCATCGTGTATATTGCATGATGAGTAGACATAAATCTCCAAGGTGGCCGGTAAAAGTCTCAAAGTTAGTCACCTCCCATGGTAAATCATAATGATGAAGGAAATATTTTTCAAAGTTAAGCGTAGTTAGTACAAGCTGGACCACAAAAAACACTCATCTCACTGTATGAACTTGAACTCAAAGGAAAAAAGTCAAACATGATTGGTCAACGTAACTCGAACAAATTTCTGGAAGAGTGATGAAAACTACTGCAGAGAAAGACATATATCTTAATATTTGTTATTATTAACTTGCTTAACACTTCAAGAGATTTATTGTAAACCAGATTTAGAGTATATATCGATCTCAATCTAATCATTTTTCTCCTTAAATGGCCGTAGCATTATTTGTGTCTTCCCACAAAATTCAACCAATTGTTAGTGACTGGGTTCTAAATAGTTTTTTTTGTTAAAGATATAGTATTGACTGATAGTTTGGTGAACTTCAAACAGATAAACACTTTTAGAATGTAATTGTTGTTCTATTAAATATCAAAAATGTCATTCAAATTTCGTCACCTTTACGCGGTTTCGGGTAGAAATCAAAAGGGATCCATCCAATCTAGTGACGTAACCACGTCGACTGAAGTTACAGCAGTACAGAATGGAGGAATAATCAAAATATTATTCTTATTGTTTTATCGAAGTCAAAATAAAAGTGTCTTTATGAACTAACAAAAAGATAAAAGCGGAAAACCAATTTCAAATTGTAGGATATTAAAGACTTGAGCAAAGAATCAAACATACTTGTATATATTCTTCATATAGTGTATACATTCACAGGTGAAATATACGTTAGTTGTAGGCAATCAGCAAGAGGGAGCTACGGACTCAAGGGAACTGATGTCTATTAAAACACTATAATCGACATCACCCATTGCCGCAACCAGAGACTTTACCACTGAGCTATTAAAGATTTGAGCTCATTAAAATTGTCATATGATTAGGTGAAATGCATGTGTATTAGAAACATTCTTATTAAAGATCAGAGATATTTAACTAACTGGGTAGTAAAAATTGAAAGACAAGCGAAATATGCAGTTTTCCAAACAAACTTTCTACTTAGAATATAAATGCAAAATAAATGAAAATATTCAAACCTGACGAATAACATTACTAACTGCCCACTAAGCCGTTATCACTTATGAAAACAGCTAACTTTGCTCTTGCCATTCTGCATCTAACTGTGCCTCTGTAATTCAACTCACTAGCGCAGATGTTGCAAGCACTCTCTGACTCACCGGTGATTTACATCATTAGAACTACAGTCAGTGGGCACGTAGGCGGGGATTACGAATAGGCATCGCCTAGTCTCACGATCCTTTCTAATCATTAAAAACCCATTCAGTCGAACAGCACATGCACGACTGTTTACTAGAATCCAGTCGATGAGCACACTTTCTGCTGTATGACTCCATCCAATGCCTACATTAGCTAGGCTACGAGAGCTGACCATCGCGTCCCCGGTTACTCTTAAAGTGAATTTTGAAGATTCAGTACTATGGCCGGGTGAGGTCAATTTAATAATCACACTCGGGTCCTGTACAGGTGTCTCGGAGACACGGAATAAATCCATGGCTAGAGATTCTACAGTTTCGGCAATCGATGCTTGCTGTCCAATTTGACATAAAGTTTGGACGTTGAAAGCTCCTACATAAAATTTATGGTCCGGTCTTAGCAGACAAGGACTAAGGTTTCGATGGCTTTGATCATTGGCAATGGTTGCAGAGTAAGAGGTTGCGGGAAGTGTAAAAGGTTTCCTACTCGTATCAGAAGGCAAAGGAAGAGACAGTTAAGGTGGATAAGCTATGTGTCATTAGGTCTTATGTACTACTGGAAGCGTGAGAGCGGTTGACATTTTATGGTTTTCCACACCGTGAAAGGTCAGTTCTACTCAAGGTAACTGAAACAGCAAAAGATTTGTGTGACCGCAGAGCCTATTGGACGTCTTCTTGAGGCCTGTCAGGCACGACTTTTTTGATGCCACAACTGCCCTGTAGTATGGGAGATGTAGTTGGACATATGTCCTGTTGTTTTGGATTACCACTGATGGCTGATCTAAGCCACCATGATGCAACATCTCACACACTACTTTATCTACTTTGATATCACTCCTTTGCTGTCCACCTGTTCTCTTTGTACTTCTGAAAAGTGTGGCAACTTGAGCCGATGCACTTCCGTGCAAGGTTATACGTTGATTTTGTCTGTCTGTCTGTCTATGATTCAACACAGTTGACTATCCCAGAACTCAAGTCACATAAGTAACTATCGATTAGAGTACCACAACCATTAAAAAAAAGTAAGTTCACTTTCCTTTGTTGTTTTGTGAATAATTTCTTACAACAACGCGTAGAACGGGTTCTAATTTTACTAGGCTATTCATTCATTATTTTTATACAACTATATTTGGTTTTTACTGCATGTATCACAATATAAAGTATGCATGTATTTGTTTTTGAATGGATTTAATATCTGTGTTAAAATTCCCTCATTCAGTAATCAGCCAATCTGTCACTTAAATTCATGTTTCTGTCACCAGAATATTCATAGTAACGATTTTAAAATGAACGTTGTGGTCAATATTTGTAATTCAGGGTATGAATGTTTGGAGTGAGTTGTTCTATGATCTTGGTTTTCAGTTTACAAACGTTCCAGTATGTCGCATGACATTGAAACGTTTGCCAACTTAAACCACAACTTAGAGAACAATTCGCTCTGAACGTAGTGGATACTTTCGATCTGTTGGTGAACAATGTAGATCATCCGGTTTTCCCACTTTCGCAGCTTAAGCTGAAAACCCAGCTGCGTTATTCATGATTCATTCACTATGCTTTATTACGCATTGTAATCGATACTATCAAATACCAATTAAAAACCTCAAACACCGTAACACTTAAAGCTGTTTTTCATTATTCTGTAGGTGAAAACAAGTTTTTTAAGAAGTAAGCATCAAATTTCCCAAAATATTGCTTAGCCAGATCTGCGTTCGTAACCTGCTTGTGTCAGATCTAAAAATGTCTTCCACGTATGTTTGCTGCAAAAACGATTATCTCAGTATCTCGTTAGGTTTATTCTACCTCTTTGACTATTCCATATTCGATATAGTTCCATGTCGATTTGTCAGTCTTTGTAGAACGTTGCTATACAAACTAAACCCTCTTAAAAATATTTTGTTTTGCAGAGAACGTAAATTAGTGATGAAATTTACACAAATGTTTAGTTGTTTCATTGAAATTAATTATCTTTCAATCTGTTTTCATATCTTTTATGCTTCTCTAGGGTAGGAGATGGTGGCAGGATCAAGCAGAACCGTGGCAAATTTTAGCTTGCTGTATTGAGTTAAAAAATGCCTTGTCACATCCAGGTGGACCAGAATTATTTATTTCTCACTTTCCCGTGCATCAAGATGGATCTTGTAATGGATTACAACACTATGCTGCTTTAGGTCGGGACCTCCAAGGTGCTGAGTCGGTGAACCTCACTAACATGGATCGTCCCCAGGATCTTTACAGTGATGTTGTTGAAGTTGTAAGTTCCCGTAATTATCACTTTGAACTATTATCACATACATGTTCTTTCTAGAAAAATTCCTATCTAAATTAATCTTCAAATACTAACACTGAAAAGTGTTTATTTGTTTTTCTTTTAAGGTGGAAGCCCAAAGACGAATAGATGCAGATAGTGGTAATGCTGTTGCTAAAGCACTTGAAGGTTTTGTTCGGCGCAAAGTTATCAAGCAGTCTATTATGACTACAGTTTACGGTGTTACTCCGTATGGAGCCACCGAGCAAATTCGCAAACAACTTCGTGATTTAAACGATTTCCCTAAAGAGTATTTGCTACCGGCCTCTAGATACTTGGCTCGTTTAACTCTCTCCAGTATCGGAAAAATTTTCACATCTTCAGTTGATATTCAAGATTGGCTATGTGAAGTAATCACTTGCTTTAATGTGGTTTTATGCTTACAGTTTTTAAATGATTAAATTACTTTTTATTGGGAAATAAGCTTTGAACATATGTTAGACTGACCTTTAAACTACCTCTGCTACTATCCATCCTGAGCCTTTTTCCCACCCAATCCTACTTCGGACAAAATTGTACTTCCATCTAGGTAGTATTTTGAAATGCGCAATTGGTGAAGATCTATAACCTCATCGACTGGCTTTCCTTCCTTACCTAGTACTCTCCGCCTAACTTCAACATTAATCACATAGGTATTCCATCACACTTGAGCAATGCTACGAAGAAACTTGTGGTCAAAAAGTATGATCTTTTCATATCGTCTTTTTTCCTACAGAGATCATATCTCACAATTGTTTAAAAGATAAAGCGAACAGCAGAGCAGCATACTCATCCTTAAATGGCTAGTCGAATATCTCGCAGGCGAAAGATTCTATACCTCACCCAACATTTGCGATTTGCTACACATATTCACTTTTCGAATTAAATGGTGTTCCTGAAGTTCATAAACGGCCATCCAGGATGAATAATATTATCTATGTTTTCCCACCACCTATATGGTGTAGAAATCCATGTTATCATATTTTTCAAGGAATAAATATAATGCTTACGTACAAATGAAGTTTGTAGTTTCTTCCCGTTGTCTAGACTAGTCTGCAAAATGTCTTCTGTAAAGTGATCATGGCCTTATTTTATTGTCAGCTTTGATCCTTTCTTAACCAAATTATCAATATCCTGATAGTGACTGAGTTTCAAAGGAAACCTGGTTACTAGCTGGCTTCAAGCTAGTATTTTCAGGACTACTGATCTCATAAACCGCAAAAGATAATTACTAACCACGTGTTAAAATCAGTTCGTCTATTGATTATTGTGCTTAACTTTTAACTGTATGATAGGTAAGTTTTCGTTCACACTTCATCTCACCAGCTGTCTCTTATCCAATCAACAACTAGAATGAGTCTGAATTTCTGCAATGAAGCTTTGATCTGCGCAAGACTCAGTAGTATATCTAATAAACAGACCATCAATCTCAGTATGACTCACATTTTCCTTACCAAAGTCAATCATATTCACTAGTCAAGTTTAAATTAAATAGTTTAATTCCATTCTGTATTTCCTTTTTAGATAGCTAAATATATATCCGAGGATTTAGAATGTAGGGTTACATGGGAAACTCCGCTTGGTTTACCAGTTATTCAACCTTATATGCAGTCAAATAAAAATTCATCCGATGGTGATTGTACATCTAATATTTATGGTCAGGCGCTATACACTAGTCAAACGGAGATAGATTTTCTAAAGAACTATAAACAGAACAGTAATTTAGTATCAGTGCCAAAATCATCTAAACAGACTAGTGCTTTTCCACCGAATTTTATACATTCATTGGATTCATGCCATATGATGTTGACAGCTTTACATTGTTTAAAGGAGGGCATTGTATTCGCTTCTGTGCATGATTGTTTTTGGACTCATGCTGTTAATGTGGATAAATTGAATCGAGTAAGAAATATACTGTGCTAAATATTCGTTTTATTTGCATTTTCAACCATTATATTTTAAAGTTTTAAAGTGTATCCACATATTTTAAGATAAAATGACACTCAGTTTATTTTTAAAATTCATATAATTAAGTAATTCAAGTTCATGCTTATCTATGAATTTGGTAGACGCAGCTATGGGTGACGCCAAAATAGGACTTTCTGACTCAATAGTCCACCGAAGCTGTTTGTCATGTAATAGAAAATTAGTTTCAAAGACCGAAGAAACCTATTTATTCTTTGTATATTTCGCAGTTAGTTTCTTAACGATATATTATTAGTAGATTCTTCTGCATACACTTGCAAAGATGCCTAGTCATCTTTTCTTACTGCTTGTCAGCAGTGAAGTCTATTGAATCCCATCCTAATGAAAATATGTTGAATGCTAAGTTCTAGGACCTTGAATTACTGTTCACATTTCTTTCAAATCTTGAGTTTTATACTGAGTACTCCGTTAAAAAGTAGTTTTACATTTACTTAGTGAATCACTCACATAAGAACCAAGAAATTTTTACGTAAGAGATAAATTGCTTCAAAACATCCATAACTAACTCCTCACTTAATAGCATATATGATTTAAACAACTTATCAGTCCTTTAGGATAGTAGTTGAGAAAACTGGGTTAATTTCTGACAGAACGTGAAAGTACGTGGTTGGATTCTAACCCAATGGTGAATTAACTGTTGTAAGAATTCACGGCCCTGAATCCAATCTCACAGGTGCTCATCCCTGAGGGTTCTCAAACTGGAATGAAGCAACTTACAGTACTCTCTGGTTTTTAGTGAGTCTCCAGCTGATTTTTATTCATACTCATAACTGGTTTGAAATTAATCTATTTACTACAAACCTCACAACCGAGAAAGCTTACGTGGTTATATCATACATACTTCACTAATATAATAACGATAAAAAGACTCACAATAAGCTTGTGCAATCAAAAGCAGTTGGTCACCACTTTTTGGTACTTATTTGTTTTCCACCTTTTGCTTGTTCTAGTGACTAGAATTATCACATTCTAAAAGAAGAAGCAATTTTCACAAAGTCGCGAGATATCAGAAATTTGTTTTTCAACCTCATTGGGATTTTACAAATATATTTTAATTTATAAATGAAAATTAAAGGTCAGATATAATGAAAATGAAAAGGTTGTAACACTAGTCTTGGTAATATGATCAGATAAGGATTACCAAGCTAAATTAAGTGAAACAACAAATTGTTTTTGTAAGCACAGCAGGGGCTTAAGTTTACGAATGGCTAACGCTTCGGCAAACTTCAGTATGCGCCCCTGGTTATTCCTGTATAATATCTTGAAGGCTGTTTTCGTATTCATTTATTTTTCATTTTACATGACATTTTAATCTAATTTTGGCGTAACTTTATTTGCAGATATGTCGTGAAGAATTTATCGCTCTTCATAGTCAACCAATATTAAGTAATTTTGCTGACTATCTTAAACAAAGATTTGCATACACTGAGAAGTAAGTTGACATCATTTATTACTTTGAAGTTATTGTTCCTATACTGCGAATTGAATACTACCTTAGGTTTACTGGTGTGTTGACTGAAGTTAAAGTCAAACTTAAATAGGGATATGTTCCCGTGAACATGCACTGCTGTCATGTTTCAGGATAGCAAACGTTTTTCCTTCTTGGCTTGATAGCAATCAAACTAACTGATGATGATATTCATTCACTGCATTATCAGTTTGATAGTCATTTGTTCTCAAGCACAAGTGCCTGTAAGCGTAGGAAGTAATAATATGTGGTAGGTGACTTTATCTGATAATAGATGCAGCGCAAAAAGAAAGCAGATATAGCTTAGATTGAATACCAGTTCACCTAATACCCGCCATTAGCAGTTGTGAAAGTGAAATGAGTTGAACGCACTCAGCAACTATGTACATGTCCGTGCAGTAGGCAATGAGCTATATCCACGGTTACAAGACTAGTAATACGACCTGGCTACCCAGATCTCGATAGATGGGGTAGGGTTCGAATCCGTGGCCCATCGGTCGGAAGTTGAGTATCAGGACCAATAAGCTACGGCTGCAGATTCAAGTGAGGAAAGTATAGATGACCACATTATTGGCAACCAGATGGCAACTACCTAAACTGATGCAAAAAAAGTTAGAGTATCACTAAAAAATATAGGGAGGTGAAAAAAATTTCAGGATAAGAATTCAAAACCTATTGGCAATTTAAACCAGTCCTTAGCTGCTTTAAGTTTTCGCCCATCAATCTGTTATCCGAATGCCATAAGAGAGCATCGACTAAACTAAAACGGTTGATAGTTGTGTGTTATCTCCGAACTTCCTTTAGAACAGCTGCCCATATTTATTAATAAGAATAACTAAGATATCAGCTGTTTTTTCTCGAACATTGGTTAATCTAGTTTTTCAAAAAGGGAGAAGCTCTGTTTGGTAACCATAAAGGAATCCAATTGACTGATATGGTTTCTAAACTCTAAATCTCAGCTATTTGACTCATCGTCTGAAATATTTCATATTTGATTGAGAGCACATTCATCTACATTTCGTTTGATTCTGAACCAGACTTTTCGACCTCACATACGCAATAACTGCGTTGACTGGCAGGTTTTGCAACAATATACCCCCTCCAAAGTGAGTTCCAAATAAAAGTATGGTAAGATTTAGGGCTTTCTACTCAAAATTGAAAAGTGGTATCATATTTTTAATACTTTTGTGAACTTTAGATGCTAAGTGCTTACTGGGGATATTCACTGTCACCGTTTCGATTCATTTTCGTCATAACCGTCATGATGAAGAGACATGGCTTTCACTCTGACTTCTGCGAGTATGGTCTCCTTTTCAAGGATCCCCTCACCTGATTAAGCAATATAGTCTACCAAGCAAACCATGATGATGTCGTATGGCATTAGTTTATTATCCTCGACGCAAATCTAACAATGTTTGGAATTCTTTTCGTGCCTGATAAATGTTAGGACTTATCCTTAGAAGTTTTTATTTTGATACTAGGTAGCAGAATGGTTCATTAAATTTTCCAGTTTACCCACTTATGAGGATGAAAACCAGTTCCCATACTGCCCATTTTTTATTGACGCTAAGAATAGTCGGAGGTATCAAAAAGCTGGTCACTTCGTGGTAGATTACTATACGATCAAGGATGTATCACAACTTTAGATGGGATTCAAGAAATCAGCACACTTAATGACTTAAGACGTTATCAAATGTAGCTCAGAATCGAAGTCAGCATCAATCATGCTATCAGTCCCTTTCGCGATGTGATAGAGTAATAAGGACGTTATGCATGTGACCGCAGTTTCTGGCTAACATTTCATCTTTAACCACTTTTTTCCGGTTGTCCCCACAATACTGTTATATTGGACGTGACATATCTCTTGGTGTCTTTGCTACGCAGATTTGTTGCTAAACAATATTACTGCACTTTGTAACAGTAGCACACAGTAATAAGTGGTCAATATGTATTCACAATGTCCTTTATGTGTTCTAGAGAAATTTCGGAATTTAAAAACAAGAATAAACAAGAGAGGGCGATGGTTTTCAACAGGTTACTTTCAAATGTCCCTAAAAGAGGTCAGTATTCAATATTATATTCCGTTACAATGTACTTATTATTCTTTTCTATGCTAACTCTCTTTATATCTTAATTGGTATTATTGACATTATTTAGAACTGCATGAACTCCTAAACTATGCTTTTAAGATGGATTTTAGGAAATCCAACTGATTATACAAGTTACCTGCAAAATCCTGAAGTTGGAATACGATATTTACCTATTTAGTGAACTTTAAGACACATACATTAGATCGTAGGATTTGCAGCTGTATGTCACACCATCGTATGCATGTTTAAATGAAGATGATATTCGGTGCGGAGCTCATAGCTGTAGTAGTAAAACTTGGATATCGTGGTACAATGCAACTCCATTTCAGTCGATGTATTAACTGTATTGTAGTGAAATAGTATTATTTACTGAATAACGTTTCGGACTCAATTTATTGTCTATGGTTTATGGGAAATCCTACTATAGATATCGTGACAGTAAAACCTAGGTGCGTAATTATCCTCATTAATCAATCGAGCACCTCAATGTTGATTGTGAGCTGGAATCTGGTTGAGCAGGGTGTTTTTAACTCTTGTTCTTAACCCTATACCTAGACCTGAAAAATGTTGGGTAGTACAGCGGCTTCTAGGAACTCAAAGGGTGAGTTTTGGAGATTCGCCGAATTGACTGAGTGAAATCGAAGGACTAAAACATTTGGGTTGTGTTTGTGTCTTAAAAACGTAACATGTCTCCATCCGCCGAAATACGAGAGTTTCAGTTAATGAGACTGATTTTCTGATCTGATAAAGGGTGCAGACAATGAAAACTTCAAAATATACTTTGTAACTTGATTTCAGAAAGTTGGGCGTACTTTCCCAGGAATATAAATCGTCATCATATACTCCAGGGTTTGATCAAGGTGCAGATGGTGTGGAACTATGAACAAAAATAAGAAACTGAGTGGTTAAGGATGATTAGAAGGCTTAAAAGCTTACTTGTTCAGCTAACTGAAAAAGTTCGATTAGTTGAACGCTCTTTTTCATCTGGGTGCTTAACCCACAGATCTCAAGCGACACCTATTTGGGGTTCACCACACGGTCTTTTTGGGTGGGGTTGAGATTTAACTGTGTTGGCTCGATACTTAAAGATAAATCCATACCACTGGTGTCAGAAATCTTTATTAGGAGAGAGAGAGCAGTGTTCTTTTCGACGGTCGGTCTTTTGTAATCCCCTTTTACTTATAATGACAAGACACCATCAGCTTAAAATGCTGATTCTGCCCAAGAAACACCATAGTACTGTCAAACGTTGTACACTCAGCAATACGATCTCTTCGTTGAAACTTTATCATAGCGTAGCTAGCAATACTACACAAGTAACTGGTTTTAATCTTACCATTATTCAACAGACCTTTCCAGTATCGTAGTACCTCAAGAAGCTATTTTTCAAGCTCCTTACACCATTAGGAAATGCAAAACTGAACTTCATGTTAAAGCAGCAGCTGTTAGTCGAGTGTAACCTCTACAAATGAAAACGTCTTAATATCTAACACACAAAGCGTATACGCTGAAAGATTAGGAAGCTTTTCAAAAAATCTAGGGTCGATGTAATTAACATAATGTGAACTTATATTCTTGCTGTTTGAGATATACTGCAAAAAGGAAATTCATGAAGTAATTTTCAGTACTCTATCAGACAACTCAACTCTTATCTTTTTCAGGTTCCTTTGATTTGTCAGAAATCATGAAATCAACATACTTCTTCAGCTGAATACGCGATATGGATTGCTGTCTTGTACAAATCACCTTATGTATATAAAAAGCACTTTATACTGTTATGAAACAACCTTTGTGTACATCTGATATTTTTTTGCTTGTATAAAACGGATTTGTCACACTGCACAAATTTTGTATCTCACCTGGTGGATGAAGCAGCCACAAAATCAAATTTCAAATTATTATTAGTATAACCCTGACTAGTTTGTCTTTCTGTAAATAATTTTACCTGTGAATATTGATCTAGTCTTTGAAAATGTTTGATTCGTTTTTTTAAGAATTGTATATTTCACTGCTTATCTTAATTAGTGAATGTGTCACGTAGTTTCGTCAACTGACCAAATCACACCAACATCTGTTCATCCCAGTCGTACTTACAATAGCTTCTATTCGATAGGACAAGTTTAGAAACATTTTCACTTAAGAGGGAATAAAAATCTATAGCTTGGTTTCCACGACTAAATAATCCAAATTATGAAACAACATTCAACCACCAAAAACGTTGTTAGACTTGGTCACACCTCTGCTTACAAATCATTAGGTATAAAGGGCATTGAAGAATTTCCCCCGGTAACTGCGTTTCTTGATCCACAAGAATATAATATTACTATAAAGTGCTTTTAGACCTCATTTTCTAGAGAGCACACTATTTGTAGTCACGCTTTTCATTATAAGTTTGAAGTTCATCTGGCGCAGCTAATTTACTTATCTAAAATAAAAAGTGTTTTGTGCTGCTTTTTAATCGCTAACTGCGCCTGCAGACAATGTATCTTGTGTTAAGCAATTCAGAGATATTATGACTAAGTCTGAAATACTGAAACACAGCCTAACGTATTCGGTAGATGTAGCAAGATGTGATCCCACTTCATGCTTCATATACACTGAGAGGGTTTGTGTGCTAGGGATATTCATGTAGGTTGAATGTACTACACATATACTGGGCTATAAAAGTTGATTTAACCTATCACGAATAAAGAGAAAAAAGAAGACAGGAATACGAGTTATAAAAGTCGGTAATTTCTTATCCAAAGACTACGAAATGCTGATTCAAAACATCAATTAAGGTCTTCTAAGTCGAAAAGCTCAGTGAAGTTGCATTTTTCCACTAGGCATAATTGAAAACTTACAAGGAACTTCTAGAAGTGTACTAGATTAGAGTTTTTTACGAAATTTCATGCAAGTGGCTCCCTTTACAAATCTGAATAAAGCCAAGATGATTGGAATGCTTGCATACAGCTATTTTTTTACAGGGTTTTTCTTCTTGCTTTGTTTGGACTCGCTAAAATCCTATTGATATCACTAAAAACATCCATGCTCACAACACAACTTCATCTATATGGTAGGTTACGCTGTTTCAAACATGTACTTAGGATGTTTTCCTGCATAATACTCACATATGTTAAACAGGACCTAAGCTACAGAGAAAGATTTCCGGATAACGCTATAGGACTTAGGAAGCTGCAGATTAGTTACGCAATATCTGTTCATATACTCTTTATTTACCAAAAGATATTCGAAAACAACTTTCCAATCATAAAGAAAGGCGAGAAATCTATACTTCTTGTATAGAAATCCAAGTAATAAATAAAAACTCCTGAGAAAAAAAGAGATAATTCAGCGAAGAAAATCCTCTTTTCAACGATATTTTCCAAAGCTGTACAATCGTATTTATATACATCATGAACATAGTCTATTATTAAACAATAGTGTATAATTGCTGAGAAACCGGAATAAAGAATGGAAAGTATTTGCGTAACAATCTTTTAGACAGTAGAAATAACGAGGAAGGCTAAGTGAAAATTGTTTTTAGATGACCATCTTATCAGCTCTGAGCAGTATGTCCTGCTAAACC